TAATTACGGGCATATGCAGTTTGTTACCAATTTCCTTGACAGGGCTCGCATAGGAAGCAGCTCCCTCATGGACATGCTGAAGGCAACATATTCAGCAGCAGTGGAGCTCAGAGTAATGTCAGTCTGCAGTTTGCTGGACCAATTGACAGGGCATCCAAACAAAGTCAAGACAAAACCAGTGCGAGACTTGACCGAAACAGGATCCTGATCATCCTCATATCCATACAACCCCTGCGAAGTCAGCATCCACCCAACAATCAAGTCCTTGATCAAGCTTAGGGCTAAAACAAATGCCTTGTCACTTGTGCCAATCAAGTACCGAATGATTCGTTTGAGGCTTGAGCATGGGAATGCCTGGGTTGTGGCTGAATCGTGCTCCTGATGTACACTAAAGTGTGATGTCTGGCGAGTGTTGGATGCAATGTAAAGCAGCACCCAACTGCAGCTGGATAGCTCCACTCTTCTTAAATGGGGCACCCAGTTTGTCAGCGCCGAGCGGATCGGTGGCAGCAGGAGAAAGCTTAGAGCTGGCTTCAGACATGCCAGTGTATTCAATAACTTGTTGATGAGCCCCTTTTGAGTCAATTCACATTGTCTCCCTGTCTTTAAAATTAATACCAAGAAATCCAAGATGTCTCCCTTGTCTTCTGGTGAGATCATATCCAAGTGGAGAATATGCGGTGCCTTCATAGGACTGAAGGTCACCTCTGCGCACCATCTAGATTTGAATTGTTCAATTGGCCATCTGGTAACCTCTTGATTCGTTGTACCATGTTCCGGAACTGCTTGAGGTGTGAGGGCATTGAAGAACGTTGTACTGACAGTTTCGTGCGCTCTACAGTATTCGAAGACAACCAAGGTTGCCTGTCTCTTGTGAATGTTCCCAAGATGTCAGCCCGCAACAAGTATTTGGCATTGAAGTACCACTTCTTTAGGTCGAATATCGGGGAGTCGAAGGGCATCGTGGCCAAGTACATTCCGACTCTAGAACAACGGGCCGACATCTTCACTAAGGGTCTGCCAGCTCCACAGTTTGCAGTCATCCGGAAGCTCCTCATGGGATGGTAATCTACCTCAGCACGTTGCTGGGGACTCTCTCCTATTGTTTCTTGCTACAGCTTCATTTCAGCTGTAAGGGAGTGCGACGGGATACAGCTTACAATTCAGCTTTACAGCTTTATAAATTGCGGGCCTATTCTAGAAAATAATCAATAACTGCTCACTTATTTGGAAATACAAACTTTACATCTCTTAGATCATTAGATTAATCAATCCACAATGGTATTGTCGCAGTAGTGGGATAATGGAGGAATAATAGAGTCGCCATCTTCAAGTCAATTATCCTTGTTGTACTCTACACCTCCCTTGATACCACTTTCACTGATGTGTAGAGAGATAGAACTAGAGTGAGTGTATATAGTGGTAAAGCAATCAGATTGATTACAGAATAAGTTCTAGCCGTGTCTTTACATCATCTTGATTGAGCGATTTTCGATCAGAACTTGTGTTGTTAAGGTGTTAAAAGTGAGTCACCATCATACGGGACTAAAGGGTAGGTGTACCCCCTTAAAGAAACTATAGTCTATCAGGACAACAAGAGTGCCATCCTTCTAGAGAAGAATGGCAAAGCTTCTAGTAGTAAACGAACGAAGCACATCAACATTAGGTATTTCTTTGTGAGCGACAGAGTCGCAAAGAAAGAGATCAGTGTGGACTGGTGTCCAACTGATGACATGGTTGCGGACTTCTGGACGAAGCCGAACCAAGGTCGACTGTTCAAACAGAATGTGGACAAGTTGATGGGTGTTGTGGAACACTCAGAGCCAGGGCACTCAGTAGGAGGGTCACAGTCGGACAAGAAGGTCCGTTCAAAGAAGGAGCGCTAAGCAGAGTAAGTAAGTAAGCATGGTCGACGACTAGGACAAGCTCGACGACCACAGGAGTGTGTTGGGGATTCGCGATTAGGGATTCAACCTGTACCTCTGTACTAGAATTTGATGCCAGTAGAAAAAGCCAAGGAACCCACTTTTTCAGTAGTATCTCATTAGAACAACAGTAACAACTAAGAGAGCTTAGAGCAACTAACAGCTGTATTCGAGGGCCGTGATATTGGCGAATGGGAGTTCACGAAAGGTAAGACGCATGATGTTTGTTGGATGTTGGCTTGGCTAAATTGTGATGGAAGCAATCGTTGTGCCTGTTGATCGTTCAACTGACAATTGACTCCTTCTGGAAGAAGAGTAGATAATCCACACTGAGTAGTAGCCATCCTTATCGGTGGAAGGCTTCGGGCGTTGGCTTTTCGTGTCGTTGGTGTCATGGTTGCTCCGTAGAAGAGGAATAGGCTCCGTGGAACCAGTCATCCATCCGGCGACTGCTGCGAACCTGCTGCTCAACGGTGCAATTGTCATTGTATAGCATTGTTTCGAGCGCTCAATTTGCTTCCACGTGGAAGCAGGGAAGGTGCCAACCATCTCCACAAGAGAGTGCCACCTTTGGATGATCATTCTTTGGATGACCCATTGGATACCACTTGTTAGTTAAGTAAGTGCATGCCCTGCATTACTTAGAGGACATTGATTTCTTACTTAAAGGCCGTGGTATTGGGCTACTGGAGTAGCCTAAAGTTGCAGAGAAGAACTGGACTGCTCAAGTAGTCGAAACTCTAGACTACTCAAGTAGCCCAATGTGTAGCTAGTGCCTTGGGTCACTCAAGTAGCTCAACATCCTCTGATTGTTTGGGCTACTCGAATATCTCAACGTTTGATCTACTTGAGCAGCCCAAACATATGGGCTACTTGAGCAGCCCAAACTGATTTTTGGAGGCTAGGCTACACAAGTAGCCCAAATAGGTGATGTTTTTTGAATGGTGGCATACAGCTACAAGTCACAAGTCCTCACAAGCCACAACAGTCTAAGTACACTTCTAATGGACGCGGCCAATTCGGGCTACTTGAGTAGCCCAAACACAAAGGAGCAAATTTAAGCTACTCGGGTAGCCCAAACACAAAGGGGCGAATTTAGGCTATTTGGGTAGCCCAAACACAAAGGGGCAAATTTAGGCTACTCGGGTAGCCCAAGCACCTTTCCGAGGAGAAGACTGAGCATCATGGAGCGATTTGGGCTACTGTATAGCAGCCCACTAAAGGTGGTACAGGTAGTGCCTTGAAAGACTTAACTGACAAGTGGTATCCAATGGGTCATCCAAAGAATGATCATCCAAAGGTGGCATTCTCCTCCACAATGACAGATAGCTCTTGGATGGATATCTTGTGGGGGGACTCCAGAGCGACCTACAGCATCAGTTTATGTGGACCAACCTGTGACTGTGCCAATAGTTCTAGTAGTACTTTCGGACGACGGCTGCTTCTACCTTGGATGCGACCATGATTCCTCTACCAGTACTAAGTATCGAGCGACCATGACGCCTCCTCTTCCATGGAGCTAAGGCTGCATCAAGCGGCTATTACTCTACGCAGATTCCATCTACAGCAGTTCGATCTACCTCATCCATCTATCGGAGGAGCGGATCGATGGCACTGCTTTTGGTGGACGGACATTGTTAACAGAACCTTTGACAGTGATACTACTACTGCAACAAGTGGCAGCTACTCTACTACTATTTGACTTGTCGATTGACTACAAACATGAAATCTGCTCAGTTTTTGTTGTTGTTGCGACCGTGCAGCCAACAATTCCCATTGGAAGTTTGAGTTGCGTGCTCCAGTCTCCATGCAAAAGCCACCCATTCATTTACATGACTCTACAGTGCAGATAGATTGAGTGCTTAAAGTGATGGTTGTATCACCATGGAGAAATCCATGGCTCCCGTGTCCCAGCTCTCAAGGTTTCCAAGCGTTGGGATGACTGTGGTGCCCTCGATCTCTTCTGCTAGTCTTGCTCCTTTGCTCCTCCCTGCCCTCCTGCCTTCGCCCCTTTCCTTGGTTTCCATGTTGCCCTGCTTGCGCACTTGATTGCTTGCCTTGCGTTCCTGCATCATGCCCTCCCCTCGAGCTCTGTCCCCATCCTCATCTTAGCTCTCTCTAATATATAGTAAACCCTCCACACCACCAGAAATCCATGGCAGAATGACAACAACATGGGATCCAAGCCATGTTGTTTTGTTGTTTTTATTGTGACTCACTCCTAGGAAGCCTTGGAGTTGATTGTTGATTGACTCTTTTCAAGGGGAGTGTCTGTGAGTGTGTTGAGGAGCTACTCCTAATAGGAAAGAGTCAATCAGATCAATGTAATGGTTTAGATAGAGACCATTTGGTCAACAATGTTGCCATGGTGGTACAATTGAATTCTTTTCTTTCTTCTTGTTGTGCGGAGCCACCCACCCATGCAGTAATAAGGAAACCAGTCATTTTCGCGAATCGAATCACCATTTTCCTTCTAAAAAACACCACTGCTTCCGTTTTGGTTTGGCCAAAAACGTCTGAAACATCAAAAAATAGTCTCTCCGTCGGTAAAAACAGACGGCCGAGAGCCACGAGCTGCTGTGATGGCATCTGCTCGATGCATGCATCAGCGGAAGCTAGCTAGAAGAACGTTGCGGACTCTAGCTAGCTCTCTAAGAACAAATTGTTATATACATTATTCCCCTCTAGCATATACCACTTGGCGGAGCCCTAGAGGACCCGTATACTTAGCTATCTAGTAGGAGGGAAAGCTTGGGACATGCCTCGATTGGATGAGGTTCTAAGCAGAACACCATTTGGGAGCAAATCAATTGTCAATGCAATACCCTGTATTGTCACAACAGCTAGTGCAGCAAGCACACTGAATGGCCGGAACTCCAGTTTCTGCATCCGGCAAGCAGTCAGCCACAATCTTGGAAGAGGCAACTTCTTCAACATACAAATTTTGGCATGAAGATTCCGAAAAAGTGCCAGTGAAATCATTGCCATTCACCAGGAACTGATGCAGATTTGTCAGTGCCCCAATCTCATTGGGAATGGTACCATGGAAGTTGTTGTTGGCTAAGTGCAGCGACCGAAGGTTTGTCGTAAGACCAAGCGATGAACTGATGGTGCCAGAGAAGCTGCAACTGTCCAAGGTCAAATGCACAAGTTCTTTGATTCCATACAATTCTTCAGGGAGTGTCCCTTGCATGTTATTGGTGTAGGAAACCTCAAGCCATCCCATTTGACTTGCCAGACCAATCTCTGAGGGTAAGGTTCCTGATATGCTGGTGCCATTCAAGAAAAGGTAACCCAGGTTTGTCAACAACCCAACTTCAATTGGCAGGGTACCAGTAAGCTTGTGATGGCAAGAAGCAAAGAGGAGGACGTCAGCTTCAAGCAAGCACGGATGTTCATGCAATACCGAAGATTAAGCTACTTACATAAGTGCCTTGCAACTCTAGCCGATCAAGAGACCCCTGATGGAAAATTTCCAGTGGCAGAGACCCTGTCAGTGAGTTGTTTTTAGAAACAGACGCCTCAAAGGGAATGCCCCCACTTCTGATGGAATTGTCCCAGTCAGTCTGTTTGAAGTGATATCAAGATCGGTAAGTTTTGCAAGCCATCTTGCTGGGATGGTTCCAGAGATTTGGTTAGTGGCCAACTCGAGGAACTCCAATAGTGGCTGGATTCTTTGGACAGCAGCCCTGGAGGTAGAAATCCAGTCAGCATGTTTAGTCCTAACACATGCTAACTCAGCTGTGGCAAACGTGTGATCTCCCATGGGAGGGGGCCATTGAGCTGATTCCGCTCTGAAGAATACATTCGTATGGGTTAGAAATCAACAACAAAATATACACTTTTGGCCTACCATACGAGACTTACGAATCCGCATTCTCACAACCTCTCTCTCTTCTTTTTGCCCAGTCTCACAAGTGACTCCAGCCCACTGGCATTCATGGCTGGCAGAGAGCCAATGATCCCCCCAGATGTTGTTGGAAGCTGGTTCATAGCAGAACTTAACTGATGTACTCACCATATGAGTTGCTCACGGATTGCACTCCTTCCATGGCTTGTGCCTCGTGGTATAGTAGTAGAAAAGCACCAAAGGAATCTCTGAACCAATTTGGTGTATCATATTCCAATTGCCGTGGATCCTGATTAACAATCCAGTTGAAGGCTTTCTGCCTTGTTTCCATCAGGAAATCAGTTAAGTCATGATCATTGCCTTCTCCAGATTCCTCCGCACCATCAAAGTAGTCCTGTCCAAGGATGCCAGTAATGGCGCTTTCCATTTTGGGTGCCTGGAGAATATCTCTGGAAGTTTTTGAGGGCTCATTCGAATCATTGCTGCTGCCACATAAGCCAGCCCCACAAATGGAACCAATAATGATGCCACAACCGAGCAAGAGCAAGAGCAGAAACCCAGCAAGGCGAACCTGATACTTCCGAGTAATGGTTTCCCTTCTGTGGGTGCCATCCGTTGAAGGATGAGCCACAGCCTGGGGCTGTTCCACATCATCCACTGCCTCTGCTTCCACCAAATCAGATGCATCATTGTTGGGGTCGTCATTCATTGAACTTTCCGATTCAGACTCCGAAGAAGAAGAGTAAGCTACATCTTGTTGCTGCTGAATCCCTTGCACTGCCACTGCCCCAGGAAGGGTGTTTACCTTGGCGAGGTCCCTACGCAGTTGAGGTGGCACGGTTTCTGTTGTGATAACTGCACCGGGTGCTCTTGGTAGTTGATTCCTCTCCATGTCAGGACTACCCGCCACGGCTTCTTCCACCACACCTCCGTTGCTCCTGTGACGCTCTTCGTCTTCTTGCTTGAGGATCAAACTCTTCCCAACAAGGCCGACACCAACATCAATATCATTGTCAGTGTTGTGAAGGCGAGTCGGTGGGAGCAACAGGTCAGATTCCTTTTTGGTTGTGTCAATACCATGGTCAAAAGTCTTCGAGTGGACCGTGGATGACGTTTTCTCTTTCGTTGACTCTGGCTGCTTCTGCGATGGTTGTGTAGTGGACGGTTCCTGTTGTACTGGTGGGGCTATCAATTCGTCTGGCTCATCAACAAGTCCACTTTCACTGCTATTTCCAATAGAGATATCTTTGCTGTTGTCTTTCATCTTCAGGAAAGGAAAAGTTAAAAATGTTGGACGGGGTGAATACGGCAAAGTCTCTTCTGCTATCCGGATTGTGGCCTCGTCGAAGAAAAGGGGAAAAGTTACTAGCTAGTACTAGTATTACTGGATGGGCGACAGGCCAAGTTCAAAGAGAAAGAGCCCGAAATCAGGATTTTAGGAATCCAATTAAATTGATCAATTGCAATGCAAAATATAAAATCGAAACCTAAATATAAAACCGAAACCTAAATATAAAGCCAAAACCAAATTACTATGGTAAATAACTAGTTAAATCAAGCCGAAACCTAAATATCAAACCGAAACCAAAATATGAAATCGAAACCTAAATATAAAATCGAAACCCAAATATAAAGCAGAATTACGTGTAAATGGTGATTTCGGGCCCTTTCAGACTCACGACAGCTGTCAAGGAGGGGCAATAGCGTGCGGGCAGTGGCTGGGCAATGGACATCATAAGTAAGTGAAGTCATTCGAGCGCACTCCATGGTCATTCAATCAATAGAGCACAGCCCCAATTTCGATAGGAGTTGAAAGGAGTCATGAGGAAGGATTCTTTGCTACTACAATGTCATGTTAGACTATAAAACAGAAATGTGAAGATTTTTTTTTGAAAAAATCTGTGACCATCGTCAAGATGGTTTCGAAATCTTTTGGGCTCATCGACTCAGATTCGACTGACACTACTAGCTAGCTAGCTAGCTAGCTAGCTAGCTAGGTGTTCATGTTGCTGTCAACGATTTCGAGGGCAATGTCCGGATGTCACTGGCAGGATCCCATGCAAGCTACTGTGTAGACTAGATCTACTACTAGTAGCTTGCCAGCTACGAGTAGTAGAAAACACATCATGTCTCCTTTGGCAGTCCTTTGGCAATAATCGATTGAAATGCCACGAGCCACGAGGCAACTGAATGAATCTAAGAGTACTACATTTATTTATCATCCTTCAAAGTTTCTACCGACTTTTGACAACTTCCTTTGTCTTGGCAACCTGTTGCAAGGTTGCAAGGGCCGCTGCGATCTGTTTGTTGTACAGTGCAGCCCTGATTTTAAGATCGCAAGTTCTGACTGGTGCTGTCCTCAAGCCCCCGATGAAAACTTTGGCATGCCCATGTAGCATTGTTCTGGTACGTATGATACCTTTTCCTGAATCGAATCGAATCGAATCATTCTGAAATGAAGGGACCACTGGCAGCAAGTTCCATGATATCCTTTGGTTTAAGACAGATCCTTGATGGGCTGCTTGACAATCCACAGCCACTTTGTGCTTGAAGGGGCTATCTTGCTTGTGATTGCAGTAAGGACCTTTGTGGCTGCAACTGGTGGTGACCCTGTTGGATGTGAGAATTGGGGGAGGTACCAAGGTACCGCATTATGGAGGGAATGCATTTACTGGAGAGGTAGTCTAATAGAGAAGGTTTTCCACTGCTCGGAGATACCGGTACGGAGAAGTATGGCTTGCCTTCATTGGTTCTTGTGTCCCGATAAGTCGTACGCAGAGCGTGCAAGCGAGCAAAAGGAGACGTGACGATCGATCCATGCAAAGGATGAGCCCTCAGTCAGTCAGGCGGAGAGGAGAGTGCAATTTGAGCGACATGACAGAAGGGCTGCCTTTGGCGGTGCTCAGGACGAAATTAATTTGGGGTGGTCGGAACAGGCCGTGGACGTCGGCGTGGAAACATACAATCGGTGCTCCAAGAAGAAAAAAGCGGCGAGGAGGAACCTTCGATGTACATGTAGAGAAAAGTGGCGAATGAGATGTGGGGGGCAAGACAACTTTTGAAATCATCGCTCGAGATTATGCCCTAATGGGCTATCTGATGGTGCTCGGGAAGACATCAGAGCTCATCTGAAGGGCTGAAAGAGCCTTTGAACTGCTGTCCACTCGTCCATCTGTTGCAAACTGTCATTGCGCCTCGGATACACGTCGAACGACAACATCAATTGAACGCCATGGCAGTCCCAGTATTAATAACATTGAAGCAAATTAGACGGCGCAGGAGCCAGAGGCAAACCAGTGCATCCTACTCCGCAACAATGCTTTATGGCCTTGAAGCAGCTTCACAGCTATCCCACTCCCTACCGGTACTGGGTATACCGTTGCATTGTATGCTGCGCTCAGACCTGCCGAATCTTCAGAAACAACAACATAAAAAACCAGACCATCGACCAATGCGGGGATTGTTTACAAGGCGATGTAGCCAGTCAATCCTACGCTTACCATCAACTGGGGGTCCATATGATGTTGTTCCGAAGATCTCATGGCTTCAAGCCCGGTTGCGCTCCCCGAATGACCACTATGGTATGCTTGTCGGAAGTTTCGCGTGCGAACTTTCAAAAGACGCAAGGAGGCCACAAACACACCTATTCCCAACAAACATTGTCGTATTTTCATTCTGAATTACATGTAGGCTGATAAATGCTTAGATTTTGGTGCTCGATACGTCGTATTGATACCACAGACGCAGAATTTGGCAACGTTTCAACAATGTTCGGTGATCCACCCAATTTTCCGGCTTGCGCCACAACGATTGGAGACCCACCGCTTAGGGAGCTCCATGTGACCTTTCTATGCCAGCACATGGACACCAGTCACAGCCACAAAGTCCCTCACTGCAATCAAATGACAAACCCAGCCACGAAGAAAAATTCCATTGGCCCAACTCACACAACTCATCAGGAATCGTACCTGTGATACCAGTTGCATTGATGGTTATGCCACCCAAGTTCCCATGGCTTACCAGGGACCCCAGGTCTGGTAGCAATCCTGTAAGAGGATTCTGATGCAGAAGTAGGTATTTGAGATTAGACAGCAAACCCACTTCGGAAGGAATCTGACCAGACAGCTGATTTTCACTCAAACCCAGCCAGAGTAGGTTAGACAGTAAGCCAAGCTCACTTGGGATAGCTCCAGTCAGGGAGTTTTGAGCAAGGTTCAGCACTTCCCCCTCTGAAAATGTCCCCAATTCGGTTGGAATTGATCCCGTCAGTAAGTTTTGATGCATCATGACTCCTGTGAATCCCACATCCAACACATGTACAACAATGTCCAAGACAAAGTCCACCCCAACTTTGGGCGCTTTCTTTTCCATGAGAGTTGCATATTTATCCTTGTACAACCATGGGTCATCCAGCAGCATCCCAAGTTGGGAAGGAATTGTTCCAGTGAGAAGGTTACCATGGATACTCAAAAGCTGAGTCTTGGTGAGGCCAATTTCTGTAGGGATGTGAGAGTCTAGCTCATTCTCTTCAAGCCAAATGCCCAAGGGAGAGATCAAACCCAGTTCAGATGGAATGGGTCCTGAAAGATTTGAAGAAGCCAAATCAAGAACTATCAAGTCTTGCAGTAATGAAACTTGAGATGGGATACCCCCATGAAAATAGTTACTCTGTGCATAGAGGCCCAGTAGATTGGAGAGTTGGCCCAGCTCAGTAGGTAGCTCCCCGGTCATTGTACTGTCCAAGAACATTAGAATTTCCATTCGATGAAGGTTCCCAATCTCTGATGGTATGGTTCCACCCAACAATGGATTCAATGTGAGATCTAGTGACCTCAGAGATGTCAGGAGAAACAACTCCGGAGGTAAAGTTCCCTGCAAACCATTTTGGATGAGCCAAAGATGATTGAATTCCTGGCTTGGCTCTTCCACCACCAAAGGGTACAGGCTGTGCCATGAAATCCAATGATGATCAGGAGTTGGATAGGTTTTCGAGAACCAGTGCTCCTCCCAGACATTAGGATTATAGGATAACCAATTCTCCCTAGAATTCCAGCTTGTTTCTCCTCCTGTAGCATAGTAGAAACATGCCAGCGCAAATCTCTGCTGAAGCTTCCATGGTTCATAAGAGTCGAAGATTGGGTCGTTGATTGTCCATGCAAATGCCTTGGCCTGAGGCGATAGCATTGCAAATGGAAGTGGAGTCATTACCAAGGATGCATTGGGATTGTTGTCCGTGGTCACACCGAGTGCATCCTTAGTATACTCCGGTAAAAGGGAGAGCAAGTAGTCTTTCCTAGGGACGGCGCCAAGGTTGGGATCGATGTGGCCGGGACGATTGGAGCGACCCGCCTCGGGCTGATCTTTGGACTGGTTTTGAAGATGGAAACTCAGAACCACCGTAATGAACATGACGAGAAGTGCTACAACGATGCATGATCGCATAGCACGCATGTCCCGGATGCTCTTGTGCTCTGTCGACTTTCTTCTCTCATGTTGACTTGCCGCAATATCATCCTGTTCAGGCCGTGCATGGGGTAACTCTGATACAGGGTTGCACAGCCAAGACTGACTCTGGCTCCTCGGGCGCGACAGGGGGAGAATGATTGGATTCATAGTCTGTGTCATCAATGAGGTTTGCATTGGATTCCTCCGCAGTGGAAATGTCCTCAGGTCTGGGTCCAGTCACACATCATGGAGAGAGATGGAAAGATTCATGGAGTCATTGTTGTCTTCTATTGGCGCCAGGGCAGCCAAAGTCGCGCTGATCTCTGGTTCATCATCTTCAACTTCGTCTATGCGGTCAAGGTCGTTTGATTTCGTCTTGAAAAAGTGGAGATGTCTTGGGTTTGTAGTGCGGAGGGTCCTGAGAGTCTCAGCCTTCTCATTGGCCACTTCTTGTCCGTCCAAGTTTTCGCCACTCTCCCCATTATCACGAGTGCCACTACCCCAACCCTCGTCGTCGTTGCCGTCATCGTCGCGTCGGTGCGAGGACGGCCTTCCTTCTTCACTCATGGCTCACTATTATAATACCGTATCTTACTCGAAGAATGAACGATCGAAGGATTCCATCATACGGGTATAGGGTATTGCTCACAAGGCTGTATGCGGTCAGTCAGCTCTTCGACCCTTCAGCTGTTGGGCTCTCACATGGCCATGCAATGTTGCTCTGCCTGCACATGAGATGATGTATTTTAAAATACCAGGAAGCACAGACAAAAAATCACGTCTGAAACCCCATGAGCCTCCTGATTACTAATACTAGCTAGCTACATGTAGTCGCATTATAGCTGGTATTAATTAATAGTTGAGGGCTCTTTGATTTGATGGAAAAGCCTTCGCACAAAGACTTATGTGGTGAGTCGTTGCACTGGCTCCTGGCTTGCAGTCATGCCCAATATTGCCAAACGCACTCACCTCTCTGCTCAAGAATGGCGTGATGCTCTTTTTCTCCGGTTCGGTCTTACCCCCCCAGCTCTTCCAGCACTTTGTGATGGCTGTACGGGTCCCTTCAGCGTTCCACATGCTCTGGATTGCAAACGCGGCGGCTTAATCATCCATCGCCATAATGAAATCCGCAATGAACTTGGTTCTATTGCATTGTGAATGCTTTGGTTCCTCTTGCGTCCAGTCAGAACCACCCTTCCCTCTGTTCCCGCCCCTACTATCCCTGCCGGTCACCCAATTCTACCTTACCTCCCCTTCCTCCCCCCCCCTCTCAATCCCCCTCCAGCCCCCGAGCTCTTACGTGGTGATCTTTCTATTCGCGGCTTGTTTGAACGAGGTACTACAGCTATTATTGACGTACGCGTCACTGATTTGGACTGTGCCTCTTACCGCAACAAAGATCCCATCAAAGTTTTAACCCAACAAGAACGCGAAAAAATTTCCAAATATAAAGACGCGTGCGAGTCCAATCGCGCTTCCTTCCCCCTTTGTTGTTTCGTGATGGCATGCTTGCCCCTCAAGCCAAGACTCTCTTACAACGCCTGCTTCTGCTACTGCCTCCAAACTCAATTTTCCTACTCTCAAATGATGTTTTCATGCAGACCGTATCTCAATTGCCCTTGTGAAAGCTACCCATTTATTGTCTCGTGGATCCCGCAAAGCCAAACCCTTTGCCCCCCGAATGGTCCTCAATTTCTTGCCCCTGATCCTCAGAACCTAGTCCTGAATTTCGACTGTTCTTTGCTTAAGCCTGGCCCCGGCTGGCTTCCGTAGATAATTTCCCTACTCTAAACCCCTTCTTCTTATGTGGTGAGAAAAGAATTGTCCGAAGAGTGTTCAAGTAGCTTTACCACGTGCAATCACACTGTTCACATGTAGCGTTCCCCACAAATGCGATCCGAACTCCACCCGGGGCAACCTCAATCAAAGGAATGGACCACACCAAAACTCGCACCCAATTCATTCGAAGTTTGAGTAACTACTGAACATGCATGTACTTATCCCAGCTTTCGACTGGTATCCTGCAGCAGTTTCTTCTTTTCCATTCAAAACAGGACCGCGAGTCCATCTTCTGTGCCAGCATCAATCATACTCTTGGCTTGATTCATTTTCTGAAGCAACTCTTCGTCTTGTTCCAACGTTGTGACTTGTGGGCCAGTTCCAATTCCAACTCGGTCTTTGCGGCCAAACGTTCATATTCAGGACCCACCGATTCGACAAAGTTGCCAATGGCACCTCCAACATTGTCCCATTCCTCGTCCGTCGACATGAGTGCCCGCAAGGCTTGCATCTTCCGGATCCACCCCGGCCACGCGTGTCAAAACGACACCACCGGCACTGTTTGTTGGCCTCTTCGTCATCATCGCTCGATATCATTTATTTGTTCGCGAGTCGTTCCCAACAATCCCGCCCGTTCCAATTTTGCAAGTGTCCCATTGCAAACGCGTTTCCACACACCTCTTCGAGTTTGGTAATGTTCCAATCTCACAGCGGCGGTAGAATGTAGACATGGTGTGGATTGTTGGGTTCGACAAAGCCGTAATACTGCAAGAGCTGATCGTTGGATCATGTGCCCTACAAGATATAGACTTCCTTGTCATTGGCGACCATAACAAGACCGATATTTGAACATGAAAAAGACCGCAACCAAACGCAACATGGACTCACATGGCTCACTGGACTCATTGACATTATCTATAAAGAATGGTGGAAACTCTGGACATGCGCAACCAAGACAGACATGGGCACGACATGAGAACCAAGTCACAAGCAAAGAAAGCACAAGCAATCCGACAACTCACTCAGTTCTACGAAGCATACCAGCAAGAAGTCCCGAACATTTGGAATGCTATTCCAGATACCACTCGAAATCGCGCATGCAACTGAATACACCAGTCATCATCCAATTTTTGAACACATGGGAACCTGTTTTACAAGAGAGTCACTACACCACAGCCCTGGAAACAGATAGTCGGACATTCCTACCATCCCTTTTTCCTTACCCCTCCTATCCCCTCAAACTTCTTTACCAACCCCAACTCTCTTCAACAAAGAGCTCGTGATTTGTGTGAATCATGGCTCCGACCTCAGTGTACAAATCTTAGATAGCTAACAGGCGTCGCACCCTCTCAGGAGGCCAGTGTGGCCGGTGAGCAGACTTGACTGTGGGAAATACCCGAGCCTTAGCTCGTGGGTAGTCCTCAAGCACATCTCGTCTGAATCCGTTATTAGACGTTCAGTTTTTTTTTTGGCGACCATAACACCATTTGAAATGGCCAAACTGTAGGCATCCCCAAAGAATTCAAACGAGACTTCTGCCAAGGCGGCCAATGATTTGTGATTGGACATGTCCATGCATGACGGGAGAAATGACGTATCGTTTCTTTTTGAATACATGTAGTGTATTCTTTTGAAGCTATTATAACATACTTGATCTCTACCGATTCTGCCCACTCCAGTAGATCCTTCAACATCTTCTATCTGCTACCGTACTACTGCTGGATGCCGCATAAACGCATCCTATGTATACTACTAGCTAGGCGCTGTAGTGGAAATGACACGCGTGGGATGAGTTTGGAACGCGGTAACGCGGTACAGTAGTTTCTCGCCATGGTTCTGCTATTACGCTATTACTCGTTTTGGGGCAAATCAAACTGATAAGCAAGCCACGAGTGTCTAATACATTTAGTTTGACGCATCCCTTCATAAGAAGTACCAGTAGTAGTATGGGCATTCTGCAGGGTTTCCGTGGGCACCACATCCGCCTCGGAAGTTTGAAAGGAACATCCACAAAATCAAAGCGGGGATAACCCTAACCCTTATTCATGGGTATTATCGTCCTCCTCTTTCCGCCGTTTCTTTCGGCGAAGAACGCAGCCAACCCCGAGATACGGTACCCGGAGGTGGCGGTTCATAGATGATGGCAAGTTGACACCACTGACGTCGGTCGTCACATCAAAGATCGTACCGTAAAAGCAGGTCTGAGGACCTCCCAGTCGTACTTTGCTGACAGAAAGATCCAAAGATCCTTTTGAGCATCCAGACTTCATGTCGTCTAACGCACGTCTCGTGGAATTCGGTACTCAAATCTCACGGGACGGTACCGGTACATGTGCTTAGCCGGTCCCTGCAAACGAATGAGTTTATGGCTAATGCTATGCTCTCCCGGCTGCTCGACTCGCGCTTTAGGTCCATCTGGTCATCTCAAATCGATCCTAACATCCATCACTCACCCCACGGTGCAGTCATGGTTAACGCTCCTCCCAATCCCAACCCGCATAAAAGGAACAGAACTTTTTCTTTCTTTCGGCTTGATATCTTTCTCAATAAGTAAAGTAAGTAAAGAAGCAATGAGTGACGGTCAGGAAGAAGGAAGGAGGCACAGTGATGATGGAAGAAGGGTTGAGGATGATTGGGAAGGTGCGGACGAAGAAGATACCGACCGTGCGGGAGAGGAAGAAAGTAAGATCGATTCCGACGAAGATCCAGCGTCGAGCCAACCGGATACCAAGTCTCTCCTGCTGTGGGGCAAAGTGATGCGAGAAATCACCAAGGCCAGGGAAGCCTTTGATGATTACGCTGACCGTGATATGGACGATCAGCCAGAACAGAGCACAGTGGAAAGAAGAATCAGCCCAAGACATCTCCACTTCTTCAGAACAAAACCCACAGGCAGTAGTAGTGAAGATGAAGAATCGGCTGTGGCCGAAGATCCATCCAGACATGTTGATGAATCCATGGATGATTCCATCACACTCCAGGATGTGTCCAATCACACAGCAGCAGCCGTGTCTCTCGGTTTGGAAGAATCCAGTGAGGTTGTTTTGCCAGTGAGTGATCTTTGTGAAGAGCCCATCCTTCCCGGAGCTTTTTCTGTGAGAGGATCCAGACCTGAAGACATTTCCACTGCGGAGGAATCCAATGCCAACCTCGTTGATGACACAGACTATAGAGAATCATATCGGCCTTTGCCAGCTGTACCAGACGATCCAGAGTCGGGCTTGGCCACAGCCACCCCAGTCCCAGACACCCCAGTCACATTCCCCCAAGCAGAGCTTGAACGCGCCTTCTCAGAGCGTGCTTTATCAGAGTCTGCATATGGAGCTGGCTGTTGTTTCGTAGTTGGGGTTGTCGTGCTGGCAGTTTTTGCTATTCTCTTCATGAGCTCCCTCATGAGATCCCCATCACCTACAAGAGCACCAATTCCAAAGACTCCAACAGACTACCTACTTTCGTTGCTGCCTGACTATACCATCAAAGAGATCCACTTTGACAGTTACGCCAGGACATTTTTCTTCCCATCGTTGGTCTCTCCTCAAACCAAGGCATTCATCTGGACTATCAACGACCCAAACTTCGACTCCTATGAAACATGGCAACTAAAGCAGAGGTTTGCACTGGCCTGCTTCTATTATGCTACAGGAGGAGAAACAAGCTGGAAATCGACAGAGAATTGGTTGTCATACAAGTTCAATGAAACTTACTGGTACTCCAATCATATTCTGGAGAAATGGGTTGATTGGCATGACCTCCTCTACACATCTAAACTATTTGAAGAAACAAGCCATCAGCTGAATCATCTGTGGCTTGTCAATAACAGCCTGGAGGGAACTATACCTCCAGAGATGTCTCTCCTGACGTCTCTAAGGACAATAGATCTCAGTGCCAATCCAAGACTGAGGGGCCCCATCCCTTCGGAGATTGGCAACCTTCATCGGCTTGAAATTCTGATGTTCTCAGAAAATATAATGACTGGCGAGCTACCTACGGAGCTTGGCCAACTCACCAAACTCCTGAGTCTTAAAACAGAGAATAACACCTTCCATGGCACAATCCCATCCCAGCTGAGCATGCTGGAAGACATGATAGTACTTGATTTGGCTTCTTCGGATCTCTCTGGACCCATTCCATCAGAACTCGGTCTTATTACTCCCTTGGGCATTTGGTTTGAAGGAAATGAGCTGGAATCCACCATTCCAACTGAGCTGGGACTCACCAGGGCTCATGTTATAAACCTTCATTTCAACATGCTCACGGGCACAATTCCTTCAGAACTGGGTATGCTTTTGCAAGATGATATATCGTACAAACCTAAGTATTATGATTTGCTGGAAGAGAAGGCTCCCAAGGGTTATGATATCAAGGCCATTCTGGACATGGTGGGGACTGTACTTCAAGTGGGTTTTAATGGTGTTATTATGTCTCAGAACTTGCTAACTGGATCGATTCCAACTGAATTGGGAAGATTTGCTGAGGGTGTTCGGCTGGACCTTACTCACAACTCCCTGACTGGGGCCATCCCAAGTGAGCTGGGTTTACTATCTAACCTACTCTGGCTGGGTTTGAGTGAAAACCAACTGCAAGGTCAGATTCCTTCAGAGCTTGGGCTTCTATCGAATACGAAGTATCTTCTTTTGCATCAAAACGATCTTACTGGGAGTCTTCCACATGAATTGGGGTCTCTGGTAAGCCATGGAAGCTTGACTGGCCTGACAATCAATTCAACTGGTGTCACAGGAACCATGCCGGAAGAGCTGTGTCGCCTGGGCAGGTGGAATGGTTCTTCGTGGGAAGGTCTGGCATTTGATTGCAGTGAGGATCTCTGTGGATGTAGTTGGTGTCCTTGTACAATGGTTTGAACACCCTAAACACCGCTTGGCTTGGATGGCAGCAGGTGCACTTGCGGGTGGGGGGCAATAGGATACTAGTAGTTGTTTTTATAATAGGATAGTTGTTTTTTGTACCAGTATCCCGTACTAGTACACCAGCAAGGCCCACTAGCACTCGGAATCCTATGACGCAACCATCCCACAACAAGGTGATCTGCACCATCCATTAGTAACTATATTAGAATGAGGATCTGCATCATAGGTTCACCTGAGATCTAAGTTGTGGGAACCCATGTACAGTAGATATCAAGCTCCTCTGGATGGTTCACGGCCCAGCCAGCAGTTAGCTTCCTGTAGCACCAAGTATCTGAGTCCCTCGCATCCCAAAAGAGTGTGCACACATTTGTTGTTGTTGCTTTCTTGTTGCTCTTGCGACCAGTGCATGGTCAGTGTGTGGAAAACTTGGACTCGACTCCGCGGCATCGTAGTGTTTGCGGCTGTCGTCCCATGTCGTCTCGTTGACTGCTGTTGATCAGTCGTCGTGTTGATGAACATCGGCTTGGGCTTGATTCTCAGCCGTTTCCCCCCTCTTGGTGTCTCCGCCCAGCCGAAACGAGGACTGACTCCAGGCCACAGTCGACATGAGGAGCAGCCACCACCCCAGTCCCTTGTCGTCTTGAAGCTGGGACCATTGTTCGTACACTTTGCTGATTGAATGAATTCTACCGTGGTATCTACCGTTGTGTTACTTCATGGAGTGAAATATCACCGCCGCTCGAAAGCAGCAACGAGGAGCCACCATCGTGGAGATAACGAAGATTGTTGATAGGATCTCCGCCGTAGTTTTTTGTTGTCACTCCAGCCGCATTATCCTTCAGTCAGCGGACACTGCTACCGTAACAAGAGGCAACCATGGCGCCATGGTCGTTGCCATATCCGTCCAGCCGCAGCACTCCCAGCCGACAACCGGGTCGAATCAACATCTGAGTGGCGGCAATGGCGTCCATCAGGATAACAGCCGACGACTGCCACTCCACCGTTGTTTTCCCCTGTTGGTATCTCCCCCCACCGCAACCTCAGATCGAGTCGACATGAGGAAATCGCCGTCGTGCTGCCTCCGCTGGAAGCATTATGGGAATGTGGAGACTGCTCCCATAATAGATAACAGCGGCCAAAATGCCCATCTTGTTCTTGACACCACTGACGTCAATGGTAACGATGAAGCACTTTTAAAAAAACAGTAGAGCGGATATGGAAATGGAGGAAATGGATCCGAGTGGAACAATTTCAGACGTGATTTTGATAGGATCCTACTTTCCAGTTGGGTCTTGAAATCTGCACCGACAGCTGGAAGAAACTTTGTATTTTATGTAGTTGCGGTAAACTTTAGTTTTTCTACAAACATGCAGAGTACTATGTAACTTTAACCCTATATTTACCGCAGCTACGCTTCGAAACCGGTCTTCCTGGAAGATATCTTTATTCGGCAATGATAAGGTACTCAAAGCGTATTGAGCTCATCGGACCGAAGATCTACTTAGCCGGTCCTGCATCCTGTGAATTCATTGGTGATGCCATTATTAAAAAAAAATCCAGTTTGGAAACCAGGAGGAGAGATCTTTGTGAAGTAGTACGTTACGATCCAAGCATGAGTCAAGAAGAAGAAAGCAGCAGCAGCACTGATGATGAAAGAAATGTCGAGGATGAAAGGGAAGGTGCGGACCAAGAAGATGATGGTGGTGCGGGAGAGGAAGAAAGCCAGCACTTTACGGACGAAGATCCAGCGTCGAGCCAACCGGATACCAAGTCTCTCCTGATCATGGGCAAAGTAATGCGAGAACTCACCAAGGCCAGGGAAGCCTTTGATGATTACGCCGACCGTGACACGGATGGTCAGCCACAACAGAGCGCAGTAGAAAGAATCAGCCGAGGACGTCTCCTCTTCTTCAGAACAAAACCCACAGGAAGTAGCAGTGACCACAGTGAAGATGAAGAATCGGTGGTGGAACAAGATTCATCCCGAATTGGTGATGAATCCTTGGTCTCTCATAATGATGTGTCCAATCACACTGCAGTAGCCAGATCTATTGGTGTGGGAGATTCCAATGAGGTTGCTACTTCTGTGAGAGATCTATTGGAAGAGCCAATCCCTCACGGAGCCTATTCTGTGACCCGGCTCAGCATTTCCACTGCGGAGGAATCCAATGCCAACCTCATTGATGACACAGACTATAGTGAACCAAATCGTCCTTTGCCAGCTGTACCAGACGATCCAGAGTCGGGCTTGGCCAGAGCCACCCGAGTCCCAGACACCCCAGTCACATTCCCCCAACCAGAGCTTGAACACACCTCCTCAGAGCGTGCTTTCTCAGAGCCCCCCTATAAAACTGGTGGTTGTTTCGTAGTTGTCCTGGTTGTGCTGGCAGTTTGTGCTATTCATTTCATCATCCGCCCAACACCTGAGATACCAGTGGGAACCCAATCACCCGCAGGAGCACCAACTTCAAGCTCTCCAAGAGACAGAGCCTATCTACTTTCGTTGCTGCCTGACTATACCATCAAAGAGATCCACTTTGACACTTACGCCAGGACATTTTTCTTCCCATCATTGGTCTCTCCTCAAACCAAGGCATTCATCTGGACTATCAACGACCCGAACTTCGACTACTATGAAACATGGCAGCTAAAGCAGAGGTTTGCACTTGCCTGCTTCTACTATGCTACAGGAGGAGAAACAAGCTGGAAATCGACAGAGAATTGGTTGTCATACAAGTTCAATGAATCTGATTGGTACTCCAATCATACGGTTGGAGGAGAATTGGATTGGCACGACCTCCTTTACCACCACAAGTATGGAATATTTGAAGAAACAAGCCATCAGCTGAATCATCTGTGGCTTGTCAATAACAGCCTGGAGGGAACTATACCTCCAGAGTTGTCTCTCCTGACGTCTCTAAGGTCAATAGATCTCAGTGCCAATCCAAGGCTGAGGGGCCCCATCCCTTCGGAGATTGGCAACCTTCATCGGCTTGAAATTCTGATGTTCTCAGAAAATACAATGACTGGCGAGCTACCTACGGAGCTTGGCCAACTCACCAAACTCCTGAGTCTTAAAACAGAGAATAACACCTTCCATGGCACAATCCCATCCCAGCTGAGCATGCTGAAAAACATGACTGTGTTGGAGTTAGGGTTCTCCGGGCTTGGGGGGCAAATACCATCAGAACTCGGTCTTATTACTCCCTTGGGCATCTATTTTGAAGGAAATGAGCTGGAATCCACGATTCCAACAGAGCTGGGACTCACCAGTGATCACATTCTAAGCCTCCATTCTAACATGCTCACCGGCACAATTCCTTCAGAACTGGGCATGCTTTTGCAAGATACCATGTTGTACAAACCAAAGTTTTTTGCTTTGCTGGAGGAGAAGGCTCCCAAGGGTTATGATATCACTGGTAAAGAGGCTCTTCTGAACATTGTGGCGGGTGTACTTCAATTGGGTTTAAATGGTGTTATGATGTCTCAGAACTTGCTAACGGGATCGATTCCAACTGAATTGGGAAGATGTGCTGAGGGTGTTCGGCTGGACCTTGCTCAAAACTCCCTGACTGGGGCCATCCCAAGTGAGCTGGGTTTACTATCTAACCTACTCTGGCTGTTTTTGAGTGAGAATCAACTGCAAGGTCAGATTCCTTCAGAGCTTGGGCTCCTATCGAATGCAAAGTACCTTCTTTTGCATCAAAACGATCTTACCGGGAGTCTTCCACATGAATTGGGGTCTCTTAACTTGACTGGCCTGACAATCAATTCAACTGGTGTCACAGGAACCATTCCTGAAGAGCTGTGTGACCTGGGCAGGTGGAATATTTCTTCATGGGAAGGTCTAGCATTTGATTGCAGTGAGGATCTCTGTGGATGTAGTTGGTGTCCTTGTACAATTGTTTGATCACCCCAAATACCCCTACCGTATCCTTGCACAGTCTCCTGGGACACCAAAGACGGCAGAACGTGTAGGGGGCTAGGAGAGTTGATTTGTATAGGATAGTTTGTTTTTTATACCCATATCCCCTACACCAGCAAGGCCTACTAGCAATCGGTACGAGAATAGAGATTGGGATGCTTTATGGAAGCCATCAAAAGAAGCGCAGCTGGCAACCAAAACGATAAACGAAACTCCTTTTGTTTGCACCCAGCACAGAAAGGAGGAAAGAACCAACTGTTGGGCCTGCGTTAGCACAGGCTACTGCACGGTACCGTAGCCAAGCCATCACGATCGATCGATGACGCAGCCGTCCCACGTCCCACTACTCCCACGAGCGATGCGCCAAGAATGGCAGAAACTGCTGGGCTTTTCAGAGCGCCCGTTCCGCCCTCCCTTGACGCCGCTAGCTAGCAAGAAATTCATCGCAGCAGTTAGCCAGGAAGTGTCGCCGCAGAATGAAGTCGTTTTCTTCAAAGCACGAAATACGCAAAAGAAGTACACTCCTCTTGATGCATGGATCGTTTTCTCTCTGTGGCTGTGCGCCTACTAGTCTATGATACTTGAAAACCAGTGAGTGAAGGAAAACGAGGAGTGCTTCTTCGCAGCCATCCACTCGTTGCCTTGACTTGCCTCGCCTCGTCCTTCTTTTGTCAACAATTGACAGAAGAAGAATGATGATGGTTTTCATTCTTCGAACCACCGGTTAGTTGCCGCGACCGCTCATGCAACTTCACAGCTCGCTCCTTGCTTGAGCCAAAGAGCCAAAGGAAACTTCTTCGTTTTTGCAAGGGACACCCTATTTTGACTCCCGCAGCTCTCCCCGCTCCACTCCATCCGATCTTTCGACAGCATGACCAGAAGGCGATCACTGAGAAGGCTCTGACCAAAACTTGCGTCGGGGTATTCTCAAAAAAACGCTTTCTAAAGCAAGAACTTCCATGGACCTGTTCTGTGGCATGTCGGCTGCATTGTCACTGTTAAACAGTCGCGCGTCTTTTTACTTCTGCAAAGGTTGCGATGGAGCATTGTTGTTAACATTCTTGGTGTGGCCATCGAGCATCAAACGCACAGAGAACAAGCTTTGGGGCTCCCAAGACCTAGATCAAGGGCCTTCTCCAGTTATCAGCTTCAACAGAAAGATCAAACTCTGTCTTAAAGATGTTCTTTATTTAGCAAGCCTGCTTCTCTTGCAGTGACAAAGTTGTTATGAGCAAGAGCGAGCAAGTCATGAGCATTTGGTTGAGGGTTGAGGTTCCATTCCCGGGAATACAATTCTAAGACCAGCAAGATCACAGCGGACTATTCTCCAGCAGTAAAGCCTAGAACCCCTTTTGCTGCCAATCCTTCTAGATTTCTCCGGCCTGCTTGGGATTTCTAAGACTGCCCCCTGCGACTACCTCGAGAAATCAAAGAACAGAGAGGCAAGTTGAAGAAGGGAAGTCGTCAACCAATGCGAACGACAAAATCGAAAAAGAAGTGTTTTGGATTGAAGGCTCACAATCTGTCGCCTCACAAAGCAACCAACAAGCAAACCAACAACACCAACTGCTCAGCAGACTCTCTCTTTGGAATCTTTTTCTCTCTCTCCTTCCAGAAATCCAGTCAATCATGTGCCGCCCTCGTACTAGTACATCCACCACCGCCATCATGACTCTCGGACAACCTCAATCGATGTTGCTCGCCCCTCCCAAGCAGCCCATGATCCAAGCTACCGCTTCCAATACCGCCAAGGGCATGATCAATAACGAACCACCTCTGTACTGCCAGCCCGTGGAGACCCCGCTAGCACGGGCACTTGCCTATGAACTCCTTGAGGAAGAATGCTGCTGTCCTCGATGGGTACCCCTCTGTGTCTGTGCTTTCCTCGCACCTCTCTCCTTTGCCGGACTGTAAGGCTGCTTCTGATGCTGTTGCACTCATGGAGTCAAAAAGACCCCGGCCCGGGTCACACTGCAAGATGACCTCTTCACGCCTGGACCACACAAGCACCAGCAAAAGAATCCCCTTCCAATAGTTGTGCATACAATGAGCGCACTTCCAACACTTCAGGGGCATCCCCGCTGATTCGAATCGAATCCAGCAGCTCACTCACCCCTTATCCGGCCGCAATGGTCCGGATCCGCCAGATGCCCTCACACAAGCCGCTTTTCAATCGGACAACACAAGCCCCAAAGCTGCACTCGCTACTAGCAACTAGCTAGACCACATTCAATCAATCAAAACACCACTTTAACCAATTTAGCAATCAAATTATCTCCTTTATCTTATGCTTCATCAATTTCTCAGATAGCTAGCCACCAGTAGCCAGACTGCGTGCGAGACTGACCTGGCTCACAGTGGAGTTATCCAAAGAGCCCGTTGCCTCGACTCTTCACGGTAGGACTATTATAAGCATCGACTCAATCCCTCGGTTCCTGGCGGGGGTCCCATCGTTGCTTCGACGGGGACTTTGTGGTCTTCATGGCAGCCAATTTCTTGGGTCCGGTCAGCAGGTTGCCTATCTTTCCGCAGTGCTACCCTGCTCCAGTTCCGGAGTTGCTTTGCTTGTCTACAAGAATGGGGTTTGCTTGCTTGCTTGCCGCCACTTAAATTTCCCCAGGCAGCGGCGCTATTTCTCCGCTCCTCCAAGGGCAGTCACATGAAAATTCCGTGGTAAGCGGAAGCAGAACGACCAAGCTAGCTACATGTACTTTGACGGGAGGAGGCTACTTTGTGTCAAATTGGCTAGCTGCAACCGATCGATATCTACTACTACGATGACATGTGCATTCAATAGTGTGCTCGCTGGCTAGAGATCAGTGGCTGGTGTGATGGTAAGCGAGCTGCGCTGCTGTTTGCGTGGGCCGGCTGATTTTGCTTAGCACTATCATAGCTAGATGCATGGTCAGAGAGGAGAAAATGTGCTTGCGAAGAGTTATCCAGGAAGCTTCATCAACGGCCATTTCATCGTGGCAATTCATACCGAGTGGGCACTCCAAAGGTTGCATTGACTCTGCTCAATGAGTGGATTGCTTTCAATTCATCCTCATTCAACTCAAAGTCAAACACATCCAAATTGCTGACCATTCGGTTTGGTGACTGTGTCAAAAAGGCAATGGCATATCCTCTTTGAATCAGATACCGAAACACCACTTGTCCAACATCTTTTTGATGCACATTGGCGAGTTCCAGCAAAACGGCATCCTCTTGAACATTCAGCAATCCACTTCCAAGGGGAGCATATGATTGTGGCTGAATCTCGTGATCTTGGCAATATCTGAGGATACTTTCATACTGGAGGTATGGGGAAGCTTCAATTTGATTCACCATGGGCCAAATGATGGCTCCATCTTGCATGAGTTGATCAATGTGCCGTTCAGAAAAGTTGGAGACACCCACAGCCCTGACCCAACCTCGATCATAAAAGTCTTCAAAGACCTTCCACGCCGCCAAGCGTCGCTGTCTACTGATGCCTTCCTCCTGCCCTGGTCCAGATGGCCAATGCATCAACAACAAGTCAATATAGCCAACATTCAGCTCGTGCAAACATTGCTCAATGTAATCTTCTGTTTGAATGCTGACTTGTTGGGGTGTCAGGTCATTCAAATTCCATGGATGATTGCGTTTCAGCCCAAATTTGTGTGCTGGAAACGTGAAAACTTTGGTGGTTATAAACACTTCTTCTCGTGATTGGAGTCTCCCGGATGCCCACCACTGTCCCAGAACTTGACCCAAATGTGGTTGGGTGCCATACACAAGGGCTGTATCAAAGGATCGAATACCTTTTTGGAGCGACAGTTCGATTTGTCGAAATGATTTGGAGGGAGAAAATCCCACAAAGGTTCGATTGTTCTCAACAAGAGGGGATCCAGAGGTAACATGGGCCACTCCCATCGAAAACAGAGGCATTCTTACCCCGTTCCGAAGCGTCAGGTGAGGATTGTGGGCTGGAGGTAGGTAGGCAGAGCACTCGTTGTCCCCGCCATCATCATCACAGTCAGAAGGCATAGAGCTGCCATGGACAGCACAAAGCAGAAGGGCGGTAAGTAGGAGAAAGAGGCGTAGTATGTTTGGCATTGTCTTCAGTTTTTGTGTGTGCCTCGGAGAGGATTTGGGCTTGAGGATCGCAGCTTGGAGAATGAGCTTGTTGGTGTTCGCGAAAATCTTTCCGAACCCAGCAGAGCAGCCAAGGTTTTTTACGTACGGTACGGCACTAGTACGACCTTATCTGGAAGGAGGGTCACAAATCCTTGTTCGCTCAAGTTGAAGAGAACGGGAAGCCAATGCTGCTGTTCCTTCCGTCTTGTCTCCTCACATACCAGTATGTGCACGAGGTAGTATTCTACGGCAGCGCTTCTCGTATCAAGTATCAAGAGCCGCGGCGATGTCTAGCTAGTAGCAAGTGATACAAGAAGCACTGTCATCCCATGGAAGTTTTTGAAAGGGACAAAGACAAAGGCAGGGAGGCGGCAAACGTATGGAGGTCCGAACCGCCGGTAAGGATAGGAGAAGCTCAGTGAACAATGCATCAGATCCATCTTGGTGCAGTCGACAGCCAAGAGCCATTTGCCAGCTCCTTGTCGCACAGTCGTCGCTTGGAGCTGCTATGCATATATATATATATATATCAGCTACCGAAGTGCCAAAACTGTGTGAAGGTGGATATACACAGTTTGCTTGGCCTTAGCAAGGGATCTCTGCTGATGCACAAGGCTGTGATGAAACCAGTCCACTCATGCAGTGAAGATACAATTCAAGCAAACTTCTATCCGTAGTAGCCCTGGGATTGTTCATCGCTGTCTACGGAAAGAATTTTTCAATTGTTGCCCAAGCCCGTCGGCTTCTCTGACGATGAGTCGAAATGCGTTAGGAAACGTACTACTGTACCTACGTACCGTGCGTGTACTCTATGCGTTCGGAGAGGTGCTTGCTAAATGAATGAAGTGATCATGGAAGCAAAAGCCGCCCGGCCAAATGCTCTGTCACAATCAATTTTCAAATGATCAAAGAGCTAGTGATACATATCACACACGTGTAGATCTGGACTACTGTATGCCATCCGCAGAGATACGATGATAGAGACATATCATAAATGTTGGCTGGCGGAGCCTGCATGGGAGATTGTGGAGGAACACACTTACTTGCCGACCCAAGAATTACTTCGAGTTCCAGACTCGACTCGCCTATACTATCCAATTCAATTCGTCCCTTCACCTCGTACTAGCGTCATTATTTGATCTGTTGGTATCATGGATGGAAACTACTGAGCTGCCCAGCATTGCAATAGAATGATGATCAATCATTCATTAGCCCAAGCTAAAGGCCAGGGAGAAAGCCCCCAATAAGCAAACTGCGTGGGTTGTGCCCATGATAGATTCGATTTCCTTGACCTTGCACCTTGAATCAAACAGCTCTGCTGTGTTTCCAACGCTGTTCGTGACTAATGTTTATCAGGGAAGATGGGTAAAACAAGAAAGAGGGGCAATGCTAAATTGATTATTATTGGGTGCACCGCTGTGAAGAACGTGCTTCCAAGCTCTCAATTCCACGGAGAAGAGTGCTCCGCAGTTGGCGCGAGCCATCAGCACAGCGTGGAAAACTGAGATGTGTGTAAGCCAAGCTCTAACCCTCCTGTAGTTTCTTAAAAAGACTGGTTCCAAAGAAAAAAGTTGACAATGGCTGAAGGCCGTCACTCATTCTTTCTCTCTGTCCAACTCCTCTGCCCTTTCAGCCTCGTGATAGCCCAGTCTTCTCGTGTTGTACAGTGAGAATACAAGAACCATGTACAGCCGAGGGTCTGCATACTCGAGTGGAGGCGGCAGCTACAGCTACAACAGTGGCACGAGCCACAACTATCCTCCCTCGTCAGCCAGCTACTATGGCGGCAACCACAACCACCACAACAGCAACAACGTGAACAACCACATGAGCAATACGGGCTATGGTAACTCGCAAGCGTACGCCACGGCAGCGGATGCTGCCAATCATGCCAATGACAACAACAGTCAAACATCGACGCGCGTCTTGTTGGCCAACGGCGCCAAGTTTGGAGCGTGCTGTTGTCGAACCACCACTTCCACGACGCAGTCGTTGTGGGCATCGACCAAAGAACGATTTCTGTCTCCCGTCAGTCACGCCTTTTTGAGTTCGTCCTATTGGCGCGTGTTGCTAGTCTTTGGCAATTTTATATTGCTGTTTGGAAGTCCCATTCAAATGTTACTCTTTCCACCGGCACTGGATCCCGTCATGGACGTCTTGTATACGCTCGTACTAGTGGCCTTTTTGGTCGACATGATCTTTCGAGCCGTCGTCGTGTCGGGCTATTTTGGCGTCGATCTCAAAATGATTCGAAAAAGTGCCGATGGATATCACTACATGTTTGCATGGCCGCATATGGGCAGTTTTCTCTTTTGGTGTGATTTATTCTCCACACTCACGCTGTTGTGGGATATTTCCTTTACCAATCCACGCAATTTTGATATCGAGACATTCTATGTCGATCTAGAAGCCAATCTGGCACTTGTACGTATCATATACATACATGTATCTTGCATCTTGCATCTGAACTTGTTCTGTCCCTCAATCTTACACTTGCTTGTCTGTCTGCTATGCTTACACTTGCTTGATCATGTTCTGTCTTCTCTATAAACCAGGCCAACGGAAGTTTGGAAAAGATCAACAACAATAATCCCTGGGAATTCAATTGGCCCCTCATGATTACCATTCTCAAAACAGCCCGGGTCGTTCGCTTTGTACGATCGCAAGCTGTCTCCAATCTCATTTCCAAAGTCAATTGGTACTATCCCATGCAACGACTCACGGCACTCTGCAACTATCTCAATTGCTGTCCCAATCGAAGACGCTTTCGAGAACTGGAAGAAGATCACGATGATACCGTCAAGAATCCCAAAACAACACACATGATTCACAGTGGCACTCACACTCATACCAACTTGATGGTCTCCACCAAATCCACGTCCTCCAGTGGCAAACAGGATCGTTCCAATCGCATTTCCGGATCGGGCAATAATAATAATAATGTCTTGGATGCCATGGATCAAGCCATGAACAGTTCCAAAACCAGTCATCATACGGGCGCTGGTGGTCCCGAAGATCATCGACGAGCATCGTGGGGTGCCGGCATTGGTGTTGCCATTGCCATTAAAGCTCAACGATTGGCCAATGCCGAAGAATCTCCCAAAACACTTGGACAAAAAATGAAACAATGGGTGGCAAACAATCTATTTGGCAAGAGTCAACGCGAAATTCAAAAACAACAATTATTGGCGGCGGCCAAGATTCAACGAGCATGGCGACGCTATCGCGATCGCAAGACCGGGCTCAGTAGTAACAATTCGGGAAGTCCTTCGGATCTCTTTCAAGATGAACAATTGTTGGGTCATGGATTGGGATTGGCGGCGGGAGGGAAATCGTCCGTCGCCGAAGGTGGTAGCGGTGGTGGCAAGTGGACATCGTCCCTTTCCAAAACGATTTCCGCCAAGAAAAAGTTAGTGCCCAAGACGTTGCGCAAAATGAGTATTTATCCCGGTATGGATGCCGCTGGTGCGGCCGCGTCGCGTGTGGCACAAAAGTTGAAATATGCGGCCGGTGGCGAGTCGGCGGCCGAATCCCAAGTCGGTGGTGCCATGCGAGAATTGACCGGACAACGTGTCGCCATTGGCATTTTGGTGGCGTTGCTCTTGACAGCGACGTTTACGTACGTCGAATACGACTCGACCCGCAGTGCCACCATGGTGATTCTACATGCGCAAACAACCGGGACCAGTATCAGTCGGGATGGGAGTACGACCGTGACGCGTCCGCCACCAGCCAGCTGGATCCAAACGGCATTGGCGGCGGCGAGAACTTCGTCGATTCCTGATTTGTATCAATTCAATGCGTCCAATCTCGAAGGAGACGATGGGATTGAAACGTTTGAATTTGAGGTGGACGAAAACGACGACAATGACTTAAGGAATCGGGAAAAACTCATGGTGATTATTAAGAGTACCAATTGGACCGATCCCAACAATCGGACCATGACCAGTGTTGGATGGTTTGCCTATCAGAAGGAACGGAAAAATGAAGCACTCGTACAGCTCATGTCGACCATTTTCATTTTGCTATTGTGGTTGTTTGGTGTCACGGCGTTTGCGGGACCTGTCATGGTGTTGGTTGTGCTGCCGATTGAACGAATGGTGCGCTTGTTGGGGATGCTCATGGTGGATCCTTTGGGGTACCAGAGTACTTCCCAGTACCGTCGATTCGTGAGGGAAGAAGACGAACTGACCAAGAATACCCGTTGGACCAAAGAGGTTCTCAAGGGAATGGAAACCAGCTTTCTCATGTCCACCATTCTAAGAATTGGAAGTCTCATGAAGGTTGGATTTGGAAGCGCTGGAGTGGAAATCATTCGAAAGAACTTGGAGAAGAGGCAGGGTGGCAGTGTCAATCTACAAACTTCCAAGGGTGTGACTGTGTCTTGTATCTTTCTCTTTTGCGATATTCGACAGTTCACAGATGCGACCGAATGCCTACAAGAAGAGGTCTTTGTGTTTACCAACCGTATTGCCGCTGTCGTACATTCCAATTGTCACAGCTTTGGTGGCAGTGCCAATAAGAATGTCGGGGATGCCTTTCTGTGTAGTTGGCTGTTGGACGACCCACCCAACGATGGCTTTGATGGCGACGAAGAATTGTTCGCCCGGAGTAACCAAGCCGACAAGTGCCTCATGTGCGTCGTCAGGATCATCATGGCGTTGCATCATGATAACTACTACATTGAAACCATGAGTGAAGCACCGCGCCAACGGTTGCTCAACAAGCTCAAGAAGCGCCCCGGTCCGGTGGTTCAGATGGGATGCGGTCTTCATGCTGGAAAGGCAGTCCAAGGTGCCATTGGTTCCGAGCGTAAGATTGATGCGACTTATGTCTCGGAAGCTGTGGAAATGTCAGAGTTTCTAGAGTCCTCCACCAAAAAATACGGCTTGAAAATGCTCATGTCCAATGCCTTTTACAAGTTGATGCACTCGAACAATCGGCAACGTTGTCGTCTCGTGGATCAAATCGTTATGCCCAGCGACGAAGAGGACGAAGATGACCTGGGAGCAATGTACGAACGCGATGACATTGTGGAGCTCTACACATTCGACATGGATGTGGATGCCTTGTGGAAAGCTCCAGCCGCGGCACAAAAGAGTACAGGTGCTGGTGTCGGCGGAGGCACGGGCGCCAGCAAACAGGAGATGGATGGCGGCAGCATGTCCGATGCCGACTCTCGTCAGGGCATTTCTGATCGACGTGGAGAACTGAAAAAGGTGTTGTCCGCCCAACGAAACCCCGGCTCGACGACGAGGCTGACGCGGCCGGGACGTCGTATGAGCATTACAACCATGCTCCACAGCAAGAGCGTTGTCAATTCGAGTAACAATTCGCAAGGACTGAAGAACGCGAATTTGGATAATTCCGTTCACGAAGCCCTCGGAGGGGGCGGTGGTGCCGGTGCCACGGAGCACAATTCCGCCGCCATGAAGCCGCCCAATTCGGACCCCAAGGAAGGGGCTCCCGAATTCCGCAAACCAGAGTTGATCCTTCCCACGGGTCCTGCGCTCTACACTCCAGCGATGTGGCGTACCAATACCATGTTTCGCATCCGCAAGAAGTACTTGGATGGTTTGTTCTTCCACAACTACAGCACTGGATTGCAATCGTTTTACCATCGCGAATGGGATCGTGCTACTCAAAGTTTCAAGGCGATTCTGGATAGTTTCGAAGATGGTCCGTCGAGATATTTCCTGAATCAGATTGAGAAGAATGGAGGCAAGCCACCGCCCAACTTCAAGCCCTACGGAATAGCATAGGACCGTTGTGTGGTCGGATGCAATGTTGGGAATAGGTGTACGGTACATAATCTTTTACATAGCTTCATGATTGATTAGTTGCGCTTCGTTGGGTACTAAGTCTTCATGCCGTCGATGCCCTGCACGCAGCGCCATTTCATTTCATTTCATTTCATTTCATTGGACCATGATAGTCAATAGCCATGATTGTGGTGACCAAGGGCCCAAATAATGACCTCGGCCATCCATGCTGGCTTTCTGGACAAAGTACAGCGTACTGGTTTGATTCATTCTAATTCTAATTAAAAAGCTGCTTTCTAAAGGTGCAACGCGTGGGAGTTGATTGTTTGTTAGGTGGCACCCACAGCGTTGGTGTGCAACGTCTGCAATTCTACTACTCCCAACGTACGATACGATCTCCATGATTGTTTTTGTTTTTTGCGACCAGGTGCATGGTGTGACCACCAAAGCTTTTTGATTCTTCTGTTGTTATGCTCCTGCTTTGATGAGATCCACCACATTGGCATTTTCTGGCGGTGGCGGAGCCTTTTCTGTCTTTTTTGCATTTTTTCCTGGTGTTGTTGTGACGGAGGGTGCCGCGTTCGATGCTGGTAATGATGAGCATGCTGACGAAACGAGACTATTATTTTGTACCACAGTTTTTGGATCCGGCCCACTGTTGTTGTTGTTGCTTTTGGGATCATCCGTTGGTAGTGGTGTCTTCTCTTCTGTCTTGTTGGCATTCCGTTCTGGTGTTGTGTTGGTGGATGGAATAATGATGGAATCTTCATAGGTTGCCCCTGTGTTGTTTCGTTGAATGTTGTCCATACTCATACTACTCCTCGTGGAGATTTTTATTCCCATGGGATCTGGTGGGGCATGCACCAAATCACGACAAGTACTGGTGTCTTCTGTGGATTGATGGTGTTGTTCTTCTTGTTGTTTTGTGGCTGTTGCTGTGATTGGATCTTTTTCCTTGCCACATACTGTCTCAGTCAAAGATTCCTTCGTTTTGGCAGGGGTGTTTTGTGTTTGTTCATCTGCTTCCTTTATGGTTGTTGTGTTTTCGTTGTTTGTTGTTGTTGGATTACTACCAGTACATGGACCAGTGTTGTTGGATGGTTCTGGTGCTGTCGTCTTCTTGTCAACTTTGGCTGTTTCTGCCTCAGCTCCTGTCTTGTCATTGTTGTCCACTCCTGGTTCTGTTGCTGTCTTGTCATTATTGTCCACTCCACTACTGATGATTGGTTCTTGTGTTGGTTCTGTTGTTGGTTCTGCTGTTGTTTCTACTGGCGGTTTCCATATTCGTTCAATGGGTGGTGGCGGTTCCTGTTTCCAGTGTGAGAATCCCAATTGACAGACCAATTGATCCATGACTTGATCGACGGGCGCTCTTAGGACGAGCGCCGCGCCGTCATCCATGGGTGTTTTTTGCAAATTGCATATAATGTAGGCTTGCGCCAATTCGGGCAACGACCCGACCGGTTCAATGCGGAGCGACGTTCCCAAACACAAAACGACACTGTCGGTGCATTCGATGGTCGCGCGTTCGAAATCGTGTTCCGGCAATGCATCTTCCCAATCCAATAGTGTATCGCAGAGTTGTCCATCTTGGCCACAAAGATCGCATGTGCGTCCCGTCGGTTGAAAACTCATGCCACCGACATCGGAATCGCGAAAATATTCGGCTTTGCATGTTTGACATTTTTCCGTAAAGACACATCCGTGGACACATGCGTGATGATTTCTTGACAATCCGGAACGACGATGCAACCCATCGACATTTTGAGTAATGACATAGTGGATCAATTGCTCCTGAACCAATTTGGTAATGGCACGATGACAAATCGTCGGTTGGGCATCGGCAAAATTTTCCAATTCTGCCGGTGGCGCACGAGTCTTGGTGGGATGATTGTAATTGTTGCGTTTGCGTTTGCGATTGTTAGTGCTAGTACTTGTGCTAGTAGTAGTAGTAGTAGTAGTAGTAGTAGTAGTAGTAGTACTAGGCGATGTGGATTGTTGGGCTTCCTTTTCCTTTGTCCAAACACCGGAAGGACCACGAAAGTCCTACAAAATTAATGAAAAATAGAAAAACAGAAAAATAGAAAATGACAGAGAAATGATGAGAATGACTTTCTTCCACTTCCACGCTCTATCTCTCTCTAGCCAGCCAGCTAGCTAGAGATCAATGTAACTAGCTCTAATAGCTAGTATGATATAGATGAACTCACCGGAATCCCCGCCGACGTACTGATTCCAGCTCCCGTAATGACAACGACCCGCTTGGCCTCTCGAATCAATTGAACCAGTTTCTTCATCTTGTTGTTCAACGCACGGTTCGAATCAAAAATCTCGGGAAGACCACACACACCCTTGTCCTTGTACTCGGACAAGCGACTTGCGTAACCAGAGGACATGTTATGATGCTTCAAATAAGTAGTATAGAGAGAAAGACTTGTAGTAGTGTAGAGTATACTACTATCGATAGTGGGGTCTTTGGTGTTGCTGTTGGTGTTGCTGTGATCAAAATGAAAAGAAAGAGGAAGAAGAAAAAAGCAGTGGCGTAGAGGGACCATCGTCACTTCGATCGTCAGAGTTTCGATTCGATTCGATTCGAATGATTCGTCGTCAGGAACAATTATTATTCGATTGAATGATCATTCACGGCCGGGAATGCAACGGGAAAGAAATGGCTTTGGGGTAAAGGATAACTCCCTCCATTCCAAAATTCTAAAGGGTCTGCTTGCACCCCTTTTTGCCAAGAGGATGAGATACGTACCATGGAAAAGTTGTGTATCGTATGTTTCTAAGAAGCAAGGTCAGTGAGGATGAAAACTTCCACGGTCTTGGCTTTGTTAAATAAAAAAGCAAGTCCTGGTCTTCCTTCGTAGAGCTACGAGACAAAGTCTACTCGAAGGCTTTGGTCAAAGTTGCATGTTGCAATGCATGAAGAATAGAATAGCTCTATTGCATCCTGGAAGACACGGTAATGATTATTTTTGCTGAAACTGGATTCAGCAAATTCAGCATTTGTCAGCATCAGATTCAGCAATTTCAGCATCATTCAGCATCAGTCAGCATCTGTCAGCATTTTTCAGCAATGGATTCAGCAAGTTCAGCAAGATTCAGCAGAATTCAGCAATTACTAGTAAATAACCATGGTTGGATTCAGCATCTGTCAGCATTTTTCAGCAATGGATTCAGCAAGTTCAGCAAAGTTCAGCATCAGTCAGCATATTTCAGCATCAGTCAGCAAACATCATCAAAAATTCAGCAAATTTCAGCATTCAAGACTGAAAAATGCTGAAATTGCAGAATGACCGTGTCTTCCTGGGGACCTCTTGCAGACGTTTCAACTGGCACGGTACCGTACGTACCAATACAGTACGGTACCTACCGTAGCGTAATATCCGCTACCGGTACAGACACGTGCAGATTTGGCAGACAAAAATAATAAGTACTACGTATTCAGTACTTGGGTGACTATCAATCTTTCAGGTTCGTATTGATTGATTCATACAGTAGGTCATTCGCTCTCTGTCTTTAGTAGGTTCACATGTTACACAGCTCCTCCTCGCAAACTACCCAGTTGTAGCTAATTGTTCGACACTACCGTATCATCAAGTCCTTCGATTTCATATCATAGACCGTTCGCTCGTTGGGCCACAGCAGCCAGTGGGACCCCTCCGTCCTGGTGGTCATGGTCGGCAGATGTGCTTGGCGGTTAGCTACAGTAGCCCTGCAGTCTAGCTAGCTTGATTTTTGAGCTGATCTGATCTGAGATACCGTGGAAAAGTATACAAGATTGGTTGCCGTACTAGCTAGCTAGTACATGTCACCATGCAAGGTATGTACTGTTGCCATCGACTTCCCGTCTGCTTCTCCTCCCGTGCTCCGTCATCGTCGACAGCACAACGTCGTCAGTGGTCTTTTTCTTGACAAAAACTTTTTCGGACCATAACCAAGGCAGCAAATCATCATCATCACCATCATGTCATCCACCCATCCTCAACTAACAAATAGTAGCAAAGAAGAGGCCGCCTTATTGGAAGATAGTAGTGATCTCTCCTTGAATCAGCTTGTCCTGGAGCGAAGCCAAACGGCCACCAAGACTGCGGAAGACATCAAGCAGGAAGAACTACTCAGACGAGCAGCAGCACACAAAAAGAACAACCATGGCAATATTATTGTTGCTGTTCCAGCAGCATCTGCAGTTAACTTGTTGTCAGACGACCACCCGTTGCCAATACAAGAAAAAAGAAAGCACCGGTCCATACTGAGGATGATGATCAAAGGCAAAAAGACGAGCTTGCCCTTTTGATGAGAGTTGTAGCAGAGCGATCTGCCGCTGCCAGGAGAGAAGAGGCAGAAAGTGCTACTAGCAAGAGCAACAACCCTGAAGACGTTGGAACGCAAGCTTTTAAAAATCCCGGTGATTATTATGTTTCTGAAAAAGGGGATTCCATCAATCTCATGGCCATTGTGGCGCAAAGAAGTGTTGCAGATGATGCTACACCCAGCATGACAGCAGATAATAATAATACGGCTCCTCCGGATGCTGCTGGCAATGCTGTTGCACTTCATTCAGGCATTGAATATGACCACCAAACTGGGTGTCCAATGACCAAGCACAGCCTACCACCAGGCTCTGTCACTCCTGGTGCTTATTCAGGAGCACCAGGTGCTAACTATCAAGCCGTGGAACCAGTGAGATTGGATGTGCTGGGAGCATATGATGAATCGGGAAATGGAGAACAAATTCAAAGACGAAACGTTTCCTTCCAACTATTCAGCAGCAATTCCTACAATCCACAACCACTCAGGGTTTCTAGTACTGCCAACACCACATCAGAGCTCACCGCAGAAGTCAGGCGATCAGATATTTCCTTGAATGAAGAGGAGGAAAAGTCGACCTTCAAGACATATGCCATTGTGACAGCCATTGGCTGCATGGTGGTTCTCGTGGTGGCCATTATTGTACTGGTAGTTGTTCTTCAACCAGATGATGTCTCTTCACTCGAAGAAGTGGATTGGGAATTATTGCTTCTGTCGAGTCTGGATACTCCAACACAACTTCTCATTGAACAAGAGCCTGCCTCTATACAAGCCCAGGCGTACAATTGGGTGATCCAAGATCCAGACTTTGATGAGATGCCTCCATGGAGACATCTACAAAGATTTGCACTGGCTACAATCTACTACTCGACTCAAGGTCCACAGTGGGATCAACCACATGACTGGCTCTCCTACAATACATCAGAGTGCCACTGGAGACCACCTTCTCCATTTTCACAGCAGAATGGCACAAGAAATCCCACTGCTTATGTTGAAGAGGAAGATCCAGATCATTGCAACCTTGGTGGTGCTTTTGACATGCTTCACTTGGATGGTATTGACAATTTTGGAGGCTCCTTTCCATCTGAAATAAAAGTCTTGACAGGTCTCAAAGAGATTCACATCACCAATATCCCTTCCCAGTTGTCTCTTTCAGACTTTACACCACCACAGCTAGCAGCATTGACCAAACTGACATCCTTGGATTTCACAGCTTCCAACCTAGAAACCTCCAATATCCCTACTCTAATCGGTACATTCTCCTCTCTCAAGTCCATCCTCCTATCCACTGCCCAAATTGCAGGGACCCTTCCAACAGAGATTGGGTTGCTAGAAAACTTGGATACCTTGGATGTCTCTGTAAATCGACTTGGCTGGTTTCTTCCCACAGAATGGTCACAGTTGACCAATTTGGCTCGCTTGTACCTCCAAAGCAACAATTTGATTGGTGAACTGCCCAAAGAATGGGGGAACTTGAGCAGCCTCCGAGACCTTGATATTAGTGACAATCAACTCACTGGAAACATTCCAATGGAGTGGGAAGGAATGGTCTTTCTCACAGAATTTGCATTGTATCAGAATGAAGATCTGGTAGGGGAAACGCCAGACAGTTTTTGCGAGATGCAGGAAGAATTCCATCAGAAGAGTGATTGTGAAAAAGTCCCCTGCTGTAGGTTGGGGGGTATTTGGTGCACGTGTGTTGGAGGATAGCACCATTTGCAACAAAGTGTACCAGTACTGGTAAAAAGAGAAACACGATTCTTCATTCATCGACATGCCAAAGCCAGGACCTACAGTGTACCGAGTTTACTGCATGAGCATGCACAAACGCTAGTGGAGACGATACCTGAGGTTCTTCGGAATCAAGATACTGAGCTTCGTTCTCACATGCATTGTGTGGCAGTGAGGTACAATTCGAGCTGCTTCGTAACCGCCAGATGGCTCGTGAAGTTGGTTTCGGGGCCACAACTAGAAATGCGATACCGACCTTCGTTTCCCAATGTGTGATTCGATTGAAAGATTCATTCGCCGCTGGTTGGTATGGTTGTGAGGCGCTGATGGAGCGTGAGAGCTATTACGAGCACTGCGTCCGTACTCAAGACAATAAGTGGTTGGAGGACAGCGTGCATCGTCACTTCCATCGTCAGAGGTTTCGATTGCAAATTCGATCGTCATCGGTGAAAGTATTTTTTCGATTCGATTCCATTGAACGATTGTCCTATTCAGGGACAATGGCGGGAATGCAACGGGAACGAGAAGTCATTGGGGTAAAATCTGAAAAGAATACTCCCTCCATTCCAAAAGAGGGTCAGTCTGCACCCGTTTTATTGAAGAGTAAAAGATACCGTGGAAACAATTATTGGAATCGTCATGTCAAGATGCTTCTAATAAGCAAGGTCAGGGCCATGAAAGCTTCCTCCACGGTCTTGGTTATAAGCAAGTCCTGGTTGACTATATTCGTTGAGCTATACCAGGCACACCAAGGTGCTCGGAGCCTTTCGTCAAAAGTTGCATGTTGCACCGAATTGAAGAATAGCTCAACTACATACATCCACGGATGCTGGGGAGGTCTTGCAGACGTCTCAACCGGTACCAGTACAGTACGTTACAGATTGATGCTTCACGCAGGTACGTGGCTGCAGAATCGAGTCTACATATCTACATTGGCTGACCAAATACTACCAGTACGAGCATTAATTAATTGCCGACACGACGTTTACTTGAGTACCGTAGTTGATTGATTGATTGGCTGGCTATCGCTCGTTCTTTCGGGCACTTCGTTGCTCACACGATATTACACAGCCAGCCACTTCCTCTCAAGCAAACGACGAAGGTTGCCATCATGTTGGTTGGGTTTGAGAGGCAGCCAAAGTTGATTGATGTGGAGCGGACTGGTTGTGGAAATCAAAACGGCTTGACCAGACACACTCCAACTCGAAGCTCGCAGGACTACTCCGTCCTGATGGTCATCGTCGGCAGATGCGCTTGTCGGCTGGCCATGCAGCCCTGCACTGTATCTTGATTAATTTTGGATCAGCTGATCTGATCTGATCTGATCTGATCTGATCTGATCTGAAAGCAAGTAGTATCCAGAATGAAACCGTCATTCCAGTCTCCAGTTTATTTTGTCGATCCTTTTGTGCGCCCCACTTTTATGTTTGTTTGTTGGAACCTTGTATTCTAGAATCCAACCAGCGGGTGGGACTCCAGGAGTGACGTGACGTAGTACCCTCGAGTTAGTTAGCTTGTGGATTGTTTTGTGAGCTCCAAACTTCCATCTCCGTCCATCTCTTTGTGGAAACCATTGGCTTCCAGATGATCCAAATGTGGTTCTTCTTCCATAGATTGCAACTTTCTTTGGAAATAGTGCCGTGCCATCCACAAGGTACCCAGCCCCGTGCCAATGGCCAAAAAGATCATGGGAAGAAACTGTTGCAACACGTCTTGTGCCTTGTCGTCATTGTCACTGTCGGAAGAAGAAGACGACGAGGCAAAATCTCGGAGGAGCAAAATGGTCAAGGTAACGACATAGGCCCCAGCGTCGCCCAAGAGGACCAAAAAGGTACACGTTCCCGGTGTCCGCGTCGCAGCAATCAATCGTTCGTGAATGGCCGTGGTCAAAATGCCAAAGGATCCGTAAATGCCAATGCCCAACGAGATTTGCCACCAGACACCATTCAGTAGATTGCCGAGAAACGCCACTGTCGACACTAATACGAGTACTCCAAATGCCATGGACGTGGAGACCATGTTGGAAAAGATGGTGGCGTGGTGATTGCCGCCACCTTGAAAGGTGGTAATGACAATGGCGGACAGCAGCGCCCCGGGCAAGTCGGCCACAAAGAACATCCAGGAAGGAACTTCTTGACCATCGTCACCATTATCGTAGGATGTCGCAAAGATTTGTTTCGAGTAAAAGTCCCGAAAACTTCGTACGCCCACCAACAAGGCATACGCCAAATACAATCCCAACACACCCCAGCCGTACAGTTGAAAAAAGTCCATTTGTTGGTTCCACGTCATGGGTTGTCGTGGACATTTGGTTTGTTGGTCCAGCGCTGTGGGAGGTGGTTGTCGAGATGCCAGTACGACCGCCAATGACGCCACTGTAGCCATGACGAGTCCAATGGCCAAGGGCATTTGTGTGGGTGGTAGATTGGGACAAGTCTGCAATACCAACGTGGCAGTGCCCCGACTCATGCCTCCCGCGGCAATGGTAGCGGCAATAATGGCCGCCAAGAGCGTTTCGGTTTGTTGTCGTCCTTCCAAGTAGGTAATCAAGGCACCGTAGATCCAACTTTGTACAAAACTAGAAATGTAGACGGAAATGACTGGAATCATGTGGCTGCTGTGGGGTGGCGCCACGGCAACGCCCAAACATTCCACAAGCATAGAGACCCAAATCATGGCCAAAATGAGGACGAGTCGATGTCGAAAAAAGAAACGACTGCTCAACAATTGCATTCCCAACAATTTGCTACTGCCGAATCCTCCAATAAATGCCAGTGAAAACCACGCTTGAAGATCCAAGCTTTCATTGTTGTTACTATTACTACTAGTAGTAGTATTGTGCAGATAGGAAGGGGGCAACATGAATATGGGATACCGCCAAAAGTACGTACAACAGTACGCCAAGGAAATGCTGCCACCCAAAATCCAGACACCACCATCAGTGTTATCATTGACAACTGTATCTAAAGCTGTGATCCTACTGAGAGGATCATTTTGCTTTTCTCCCTGCCCGAGGGGAGAATAGTCTGTCGCTCCATTCAGACTGCTGCCTTTTCTGGCAGTGCTGATGGACATGCTATGCAATGTCTTTGTCTTTGTTTGTGTACTCTATGGATATCTCTTGGCTCCACTTTCGGGACATCCCAATGAGGTTGTTGAGACGGGCAGTTGGCTTCTCCAGTTTAGCAGAATAGTTGTGGTGTAAAGAAACCGGCCATTCCAAAGGAAACGCTCCACCAATTTATGGCGGCTCTGCCGTGTTATTTAAACCTGCACCCTAGTGTGGAATCCTCTCAAGTTGAACTATTTTTGCCACCAACACATCAGTTCTCATTTTTCCTCATTTTTGCCCAACACATCCTACCGCCAAGGATCCATTTTTAGTTTTGTTCCTTGAGAGACATCTAGAGACAATGACGATATCTCGATTATCCTCCCTGAAGCTTCTTACAGCTCTTACCTTTACATCATGGGGTTTGACTATAATTATTAGTTTGGCAACGCCTGCTGCCGGCTCTACCGGTAGCAGCACTGTTCCGGTTCCTCCCTTTCTTCGGTACTTGACCGAGAGTGACTTGAATGCGGCACGACAATTGGCCAAAGATCGACATGAACAAGCCGTCAAGGATGCCTTGACCAACTTTCCCATTGATGATATTCCCTGCAGTCCGGAGGATGATCAAGCTACCGTTGCCAACACGCCCGTCAAGGAACACCCCGTCACGCTGAGTTCCAAATTACCCGATTTTCACGACGAATTGCCCAGTTCCATCTTTGAATCTTTAAAACCGTTACTGACCCGCGAAGAATGCGCACACGTCATTCAAATGGCCGACGAACATTTTGGTGGCAACGAATGGACGGCGTTGCCGGCGGGAGAGTACAAGATGCGCGGATTCAAACTCAAGGATGTTCCCGCCATTCGCGAATTTATCGTCGAAGTATTTCGCAAACGATTCATTCCCATTGTGCAACACACCAACCCAAAGTTTGCCGCATCCATTGCCGATTTGGCATTGGACAATTGTTACCTCATGAAATTCACACCTGCGACGGGCGCCCGCATGGATATTCATTGCGATGACGGATGTCTCTCCTTTACCATTCAAATGAATCCACGAGAAGAATACGTCGGTGGTGGCACGTGGTTTGAAGGACTCGCGGATGCCAGGGGCGACACAGACAATCATGCCGCGGGAATTGTCAAAATGGATGTCGGTCATGTGCATTTCCGGGCCGGGGCCATTCGGCACTGTGGGTTTACCATTACCGAAGGAAAACGATACGTCATTGGAGGATTTGGCATTCATCGTTCCAAAACGGAACATGTACGATTGTTAATGCGGGGCAATACCGATGACGAAATGCAGTTGTCATTGCCCGCGGTCGTCGCGTTGAATCCCGAGTACGATGAAGGCTACGCCATGTTGGCACATGATTGGGATGTCAGACAGGGGCGTGCCGATGATGCCAAGGAAGTGTTGGAATATTGTTTGGAACACGTCAATCCCAAATGTTCCAAAGTTGCCTTTTCGTTGGGCGTTCGTCATTATCGTCGAGAAGGAAAACACGACAAGGTCATGGACTGCATGAAGATTGTCTTGCAGTACGATCCGTACGACGTTTTGGCCATGGCTGCCATGGCGGATGCGGCCAGTGAAGTGGGAGACGTGGCGGTCGAAAAGGAAATGTACGAACGCATTGTACAAGTCGCGGGAGTCTCACCGGAACGAAAGGCCAATGCCTATCGCGATTTGGGACTGTTACACAAGGGACGGGATCTACAAGTCGAGATTGACTGTTACCAAAAAGCCGTCGAGGCACACGACAATTATCATGCCAGATACAGTTTGGGGAGAGCCTTGTTTCAAGCCGGTGAATTGGAGAAAGCTCGCGAATCGTTTCTGGCGGCGTACTCGCAGGATGATACTTCCGTGGGAGCCTTGAAGGCAATTTACCGTACGGCCAAAACAATACTGGAGAAGGACGCATCCTTGTCGGATTCGGATGATCTAGCCAAAGCACAGAGAATGATAGAGTTGGTGGGAGGCGAGGAAAATCACAGCAAGATACAATCCATGATGGCCAACCCCTTTGGCACCCTTCCGCTGCCTCAATAAGGCAATTAGTTGTATATCCAATGATATATATTACATGTTTTGGAGGCAAAATATATAGTGGATGGCGCAAAGAGTGAAGCACTCGCTGGCTGTGACAATCTGCATTGCCTTGCTAATTCATGGGTAGGAATCTGCATAAGGGCAACCTGAAATGATAGGAGCAGTTACAAAACTAAGGTGTGTGCTAGCTTCTGCTCATTCTTGATACGGCTCTAATGGATCTCTCCCTGCGCCCACGGTCGTTTCGTACTCGAGTACCCCAATTCGATCGTTCCATTGGGAGTCAAACTTCAGCGTATTCTCTTGGTGGCCAACCAATCCACGCTTTAGATGTACCGGCCGGGATGAAGCAACGGCCAGAAAGCAACGTACCAAAAGAGCGAAAGGGTTTGCTACGAAGACAAGCCAGAATGACTTGCAGCAGCCACTATACTGGCTGGTACCTGTCTGGGCTAGCAAGCCACGAAGCCATTTTAGAAAACGCTTACGAGTGGTGGTCGAGTGCTCTACTGCAGTTGCCAGGGCCAAGAATGCAATATACAAGAAACCCTACTTGCCAGATCTTCTTCTCATTGAAGGGCGGATAGCCTTCAACGCGAAGGGAGGGCGGGGATGGTTCACAAGAAAGTGCTCGCCCCGGCATCGAAATTCCCATCAACGATCTGGGAAGTTCCTTCGGCTGCTACCAACAACAGCACGCAAGTAGTGCAGTAGAAATTGCTCCTTCGGGCTGGTTGTGGCGCCCCAACCACCACTTGCTTGTGTTCCTGTTTGCTACTCTTCACAGTTGCCGCTCACCCCGCTTGATGCCAGTGAAACAGTGTTGGAAGAAAACGTACACCGGCACAGGGACTCAATTTTGGTCGGTCCCAATTGCATCGCGGGAGCCGTCTCTTGGCAGCTCCGGTACGGCAACCTGCATGTACTGGTACCGGTTGACGAGGTGCAACGGTGCAACACCGACTAGCAGTTCCAGGAGTACCGGTACTCCAGCACTGTCGTGATTTAGAGGGGGCTGGATTGGAGCAGAGTTGCTTGTTAAGGTCAGCGCTCGGATGGCGCGATGCATAGTTCGGGTAGTCTTCGGTTCAGGGCCTACCGGTGTTGCAGCTCATACTGGGAAGCTATCAGGTAGTTGCCAAATTTAAGCCTTTCGTAGTACTGGTTGCCAAATTCACTACTCACAGTTGCCAACATGCTTGACGTTGATGAGTGACCGTCGCTGTAGATCACTGGGTTCCAGTTTTCCAAGGGCTCGATTCTACTGTGCCGAAGTTGTAGTAGTTGTGATAACTGGTATTGTACATTTTCTGTACCCCTTTCCTAGCTTTCGATGATGATCAAGGGCGAAAGGGAATTCAGGTGCCGCATTCAGAGGTCCTAGTCTGAAGCCTGCATCAGGACCCATTGTCCGATAGAAACCCCTCCAGTTATCATCTGCAATCAACACACATCGAGTCAGGCATCACTGTGATGGCTTTATTGCCACAGAGTGCTTGCATCCTAAACTTAGGCTATTTGTGGTCCCAGTATCAGCTCAGTTCATTCCTATCCATTCCAAGAAGGGTTGTGAAACCGGTGCCATAGATAGCTTGGAACAAGGGACATTCATCTCACATTTTCGGCCCCACAATATTGAATTTGCAGAACAATGACAGCAATGACAGCGTTAGAAAACAACGGAGAGGAGAATCCCCTACTTGAACAATTCCTTCAGAATCTTTGCATCTCACTTCAAGCATCCTCTGTACTGATAATAGAGGACACTGCCAGGCAGCTTCCGGAGGAAGTTGCTGCAATTGCAAAAGCAAGGAGCCACGAAACATGCCGATGCTTCTCGAGATGGAAGAGTGAGCCACAGCTTCATATGAACTGCCACGGCGATGAAGATTGGCAATACTCCCGATGGAGCAGCGACCCGTCAGTGGACAAACAATCACCGCGCATGACGCGAAGAGGAAACCTGGAAAGGTCGCTTAGCGACACTACGCACTTGAAAATTCTTCCAAGATACATGAGATCGCCTCGACGGCCTCAAAGACGAGGTAGTCTGCAAGACTCTGCCCCAACGACTAGCATGGGACCATCTGCGGCATAACATGAACTTGAGCGGCACGCTACCGGTGCCGCTCAAGTTCAAGGCCCTGCCAGTAGCGATACGATTGAATCGAATCATTGTTTCCTTGCTACCAGTCCAAGCAGCGAACAGACGCTTCCCATGTAGTCAAAGAAAGAAGAACCAGAAAACCAGATAGAAAAAGCGATGATACTAGAAGTTAGATATCGAAACCAAACTGCTTTAAGCTGCGCGTGTATCATCCTAAATGCTCATTGTATCGTTACCGGTGGCAAGAGGAGTAAAGATTTGGTTTGCACTTCCCCACAATGTAAATTTGAGATGTGGCAGAAGGTCACATTTAGTCCTGTTGTCCGCACCTTCGGCAAACTCTGCATACCTCGCATATCTTTACCGCGAATCACGGCAACGAAGCTGTCTTGGGCGGGCGTTGGCTCTACACTGCACTGTAACTTTCATGCCACTCATGACTTGATTCTGCACGTGTACCGCTCGCAAGCGGAGTCCGGGGTTGGGTGTACCGGTACTACCGGTAGCTAGTACGTCATCGATGCGATTAGAGTTAGAGTCGAGTCGAGTCGAGTCGAGTCGAGTCGAGTCGAGTCGAGTCGAGCCTCGTTTTGCTCACGCGGCAGAGTTTTTGACCAACCCATCACACCCATGGACGGGTAAAGGTACACTGTACGTCGCTTGTCTAGCTAGACTCTGAAGTATTGCTGATATCCATGTCCTACTAGAGAATGTGATTATCGGCGAAGGCGGCTGCTGGGAGTGTCCATGCTGGTACAGATTGCCTTCTATGCATAGATAAATGGCTGGAGGAGAATCCAGAGTGGGCGTTCTTGACTCCCACGCGCATTCACTTAGAATTTGGCAACTGGCCGCAAGCAAGGGAACTCTGTTGCTTGACCAGGAAGGGAGGCTCCTGGCTGGTTTTGTTGGCATGCAACTGCTACACCGTCACTGTCTGCCCGATCGTGTATCCCAGCTAATAATGAGAACGATTCTTGTAGTACTGTAGTAGTAGTCCATCAAGCCGCCGCCAGCCGACAGGAATATTGGTTATCTTGGTTATCTACGGTAGAGAAGAAAACCCGCTCTCCAGGTTACGGTCGAAGAAAACCCGCTCTCCAGGCTTCCACATTTCGCTCGGCTTGTATTTTTAAATAGTACTTCTATCCGCATAGATTCGTCGTCCGCTATTCAAGCTGCCGGGAACCTGGTTAGAGCCAGTCATTTTGGCGGTGGTTCCTTTGTCGGCAGTACAGCCCAGAATTCTGCCGTATAGAGTGGCCCAGCCCAAAGCCCAAGCTTGTAGCCCCAATTGGCTACTAGTACATGTAGTTACTGGAAGAACTCCTGCCCTCCAGTGGCCCTGCGACATTCACACGATGAAAGCTGTGCTAGAATTGTCGATTTAGGTGTAGCTGGGAAAAGATACCGGTATGAACAAGGTGTTCTAGTGCCTTGCATATCGACACAGCAAGTACGCTGTACAACCTGTAGCTCGAGATCGATTCTTCGAAAGCTTCATAGCGGCGAAGCGACATTTGCAATTGGTCGGATCCCTTTGTCGCCGTGAAGAACTGGCAATAGCAGGGTTCCTGAAACTTGTGTACCGCTCTGGTCGTCGACTTTTCCAGTACTGGTACGGTACCTGTAGCTCATCTATCTTGTGCTACCTCGAGTTTGCCATGGCTAGTCCTGTGTGGCTAGATTCCAGCTCATACTGGAAGCATGTGCCAGAACGTTCGGGTGAGCTTCTCATTCAGTTCTGCAGCGTTGTGGTGTGAAGTCAGTTCTTAGTGCCAAATTGTAGCTTCCGATGAGCTTTACTTTCTGATTATTGCAGTAGTGTTTCCAGTTTGGCTGTTGGTGTTCATGGGTCATAAAATAATGACATAAAGACTGGTTCAGCAATGTTCTCTGCTGTGACTGCAGTAGCCACTGCAGTGCAGTACAGTCAGCCCTCGCTCTTATTTATAATCTCTTATTTATTCCCTCTATTATATTTATTAAATCTCGAGATCCCCCCCCAGTCATGAGTGACCGTGACTGCAGTCATGAGTGACCGTGACTGCAGCAACAAATCTTTCGAGCAGCCCGACAACGTCGCACAATCCATTCCAACCGTTTCAATTTGACCGAGATGGCATGTAAAATGCCGATATAGATCCAATGGACGTGGGATTCCTCGCACCTCTGCGGTACCTCTGCACGCACCTCTCAGAGGCTGTCTCGTCGGTGCCAGCCCAAGCCCTGGTTGCTTACGTGCATTTTTGGAAGGATGGTTTTGACCAGACAAAAACAATTCTTGTGAGCTGCCAAACAATTTCACGCAAACCATACCAAAGGCTCCAATCCGACCTAGACCAACATGAACGACGCCGATTGAATATGGCTAGGGCTGCTAAGGCAGGCAAGCGAAAGCGTGATAGCTCCCTTCATTCGTACTTTACTAGCAAATAAGGCCCTAGAAAACGCTTATATTTATGCCCTCCATTATATTTATCAAAGTCCAGGATACCCCCTCATAAATAAGAGAGAGGGCTGACTGTAATGCACGAACTCAGAACAGCTCTCAGAACTCATTCATCAGAACACTGCATGCTAAATAAAAGTACATGTAGAGATTACTGTACTGTGCTTCTTTACAGATAGTTTTAAAAAAGAGGACTTCACAGTCACTCATCAGGCCTGGGAGCAGAAGGCTAAAAAAATGCTAAAAATGGCCTTCAATCCAGTTCTCGACCGGTACGTGCTTCTTCACTGGACTTGGATGGAACCGAAACTTCAATGACTTTGCCTGTGAACGCAACCAAGTCGGGGTTTGGGCGGTTTAGAAACACACGTTGTGTGGGCTCGATCCTTTGTCGGTCTCACAAATCCACATCTGCGTAAACCCAACGGCAATCTCAATACACAAGTATCATATGTGTGAAGCAACAACATCTCCTCTCAGTCAGTTCTTTAGTGACCTGCTCCCCGCTCAGGTGCAACACTTGGTGCTGATTGACGACAATGCTGCCATTCTCTCCCAAGGGGTCGTCCGAAGCGCTCCTCGAGCCCCAACCAAAAAGAAAGGCAAGAAGAAGAAGCAAAAGAACTTCTCCACAGATCGATGGGAAGGGTGTCCACTCAAATACGCCAACAAGGGTGTCAAATCCCTCGAGGAGAGGGCAGCTTGCTCACCACAGAGACCGCAACGGCGCGGTAGCATGGCCATGACTACAGAAGATATTCCATCCACTCGTCGAACACGACGATCTTGCAAACCAAGACGCAGCATTTCTTACGAGTCACAGACGGAATTAAAAGATGATGCTTTTGAATTCCCCGCCAAGAAGAACTCGCCTCGCATGCCACAACGGCGTGGTAGCTTGAGTATGTCGGAAACGGCCACACCTACACATGTGGGCCCTGCAGCGGCATGAGTCTGCCAATCCAAAGTGGGCAGGGGATGAGATACACAGTACAGAAACATTTAGAACATAAAGAAGAATAGAATAGAGCAAACAACATACATTACAACTCAGTTGGACCACTCAGAGTAAGCTGTTTCTGCCTGGTTCTAACGAGTGCGCGCTTACCACAGCTACCACAAACAGTGGCAGCCTCGGGCACACCTACCCTAGCAAAACTACCCGACATCGATGGGCTTGTTTTGTTGCCTCCATTGCGATGGAGCCAGCGCTTGCTTGCCTCCATTTCGGTCGCACCTCTAAGCACCTCTATGCTGCCACAAAACAAACACTCCAGCTAAAGAAGTACTGCTGCGTTTCGATGCTGTTGTTTCCGGTCGGGATGCGATCCGTCTTTTTTGTGTCAAGCTTAAAACACATTCTCGAGTCACACGGTCGGGGGTACTCGTGCGGAGTGCAAACCGAAGAGTATCCCTGTGTATTATCATTGGCAACCAGCAACAGAGCCTACTCGTCCAAAGATTTGCCTTGCATTCGTTTGTGAATCTGGTCTGCGGCCAGTTGTCCAGATCGTACGGCTCCTTCGATATAACCATTCCCGTACCCGATATGGTAATCGGCTCCGGCAATCCAAACGTTTGGCAGCTTTTCCATTTGACGATAGGCCGACCAATAGGCAGGCTCCGACAAGACACCAGGGCCGAAAAAACCCGTGTAAGCACCTCGTGCAAAGGGATCGTCTGCCCAATTGTGCATGAGAATCTCGTCGGGGTCCCAGCCGGATGCATCATCGCCAGGTGGAATGTACTCTGCAAAGGATAGCTTCAAAAACTCTCGAAACAGCTGCTCTTGCTTCTCATGGGGTAAGCTAGAGTAATACAAGTTGGCTCGGCCTTCCACAAAACAGGTAATCACGCCATATTGCAGTGAGTAGGGAGATGTATCGTAACATTGTGGAAAGATGGGTTGTCGATCTTCTGTATGGGTGCTATCCACAGGGACGGACAACTCCAAAGGCAAGTGAGAAGCAATGATATCCCCGGTCAGTCCATGGTCTCGCCACCAAGGTCCTCGCTTGTACACCGCCATGACTTTTCGACAAGTTCCCATGGGCATTCGTTGCAATAGCTGTGCGTGTTCACCGGGCAGGGGTGGATTGTCAAAGTGCAGACCCATGATGGCATGGGGAGAACCAGTCACGATCAAATGATTGGCCGTGTAGACTTTGTTGGACCGAGAAATCACTTGATACCGGCCGGATGCTGCTCCTCGAATGACCTGTACAGGATCGGCCAAGGTTAATCGATCGGGCCCTAGCATGTGTGCAATGGCCAATGGGACGGCTTGAGTACCACCTTGGACACGATACTCATTGTCGGGGCCATCACTATTGCACCCCTTGAAGGAGAGCAAGTTGTACAGATAGCCCACTTGGTTTGGTTCTTGGGCGTTTTTATTGTGAATGACTTGTCTGAGAATGTTGCGGGCATTGGTGGTGGAAAGTTGGGGCATGAGTTTGGCAGCTGTGGTGTATCCATCCAGTTCATCCCAGCGAGATCCCGGCATGTGAGCTTCCCAAGAAAGGTCGGGAACTTGTTGCCCCAGCGAGACGTTCCAGATCATGTTTCCAGCTTGGTGCAGTTGTTCCAGCGTCGTTTTGTCCAAGGCAGCCAAGAGTTGTTGATGAGTCCGAAAACGGGTCTTTTGGGTAGTGTTTGCACCCTTGCTGGTTTCATGAAACAAGAGTATGTCTTGCTGTTCACTCATTTCTTCATTTGTGTACTCGGGTCCCCAGTACCACCACGGCCAGTCGTCATCACCGTCGCTTTGTTTGTCCTTTCCTTGCTCTGCCTGGGCTGGATCTATGCGGCTGGCTCGAAAGATAGGTATATCCAATTCTTGGCAGAGTCCCAAAAAGGCTGCATGATTAGGACTCAACCAAGTACCTCCCAATTCCACAGCGTGATCGGAAGCCTGATCATACATGCCCGTGGCCAAATCCACATTGCGAGTTCTCCCACCAACGTGTGGATGTGCTTCCACCACGTGGATGTTCGTCACGCCCTTGTGGAGAAGACGATGAGCCGCAGCCATCCCCGCTTGACCTGCTCCAATAATCAAAACATCCAGAGCTGAGGCTGGAGCTGACATTGTTGGAATGGTCTTCACGTATAGATGGGATTTTGACAGAGGAACACCCGGTCTCTTGCAGCCGATTAGACGTTGGCAGCTCGGTTATAAGGATGCTCTACTTTAGAAGGCCATAAGGCATGCATAGCTTGTAGTCTATTTGGTGTGGTAACAACCAAATTTAATTGTTGACTGGGTCTGCAACTGGCAAAGATTATGAAAACCTGGCAGCCTTGTAGAGGCAGTCTATTCGCGTGAAATCAGAAAGAAAGAGAAAGCAAACTGGAGGAGCACTAAATGATTTAGAGGGTGCGCTCGTGCCACGTTGGGGAAGAGTAAAGAAGGCCACCGTGCCACACACTTAAACAGGTGACACAGATCATGTTACCGAAGCCGTGTCATCCATCAAACTGGCCTCTTTGGAATCTTTTGTATCGACAGCATCATTGCCACCGTCTTGGCAGCTGCAGGAAGTAGTGGGATCAGGTACAAGGTTGACAGCGAAAAATCCAGCCAAGCAAGCTAGTGCTCCCACCATAGAATACCACGAGAAGACGTCATCGTTGCCGAATGCAAAATCCAATAAGAACGCCATGGGGATGGACAGCCCCAAGCCGACCGTTGGCACAGTGGGGCCAGTGAGAATGACGGACCGAAACAAGAGGTAGTCCGAAATGCAAAAGTCAAAGAGCCCCTTGATCAGAACCATCCCGAGAGATGCCGATGTGAGTTGAACTTGTTGTGTAATGAGCAGCAGCCAAATGGCCGCCGGAGCCATCAACACCAAGGCAACGGCTCCAATGTATCCCAATAACAGCTGCATGCTATAGAGTTCTTCATTTTCCGGGCAGAATAGGCGCACTTGAATGGTGTAAATGGCATAGATCATGGCAGCAAGGATAGCCAAGCTGTCTCCCCACCACTGGGACGTCGCGGTGTCGTCCTCCACCATAAAGTTGTCATTCGTCTCTTCTGTCTCTAATGATGATACCACGGTAGTATCGTGCAACATAGTCAGAGCAGTTCCTGCCACTCCGGCCAGAATGCCCAGAAGTTTCCACACGCTGTAAAAGTCGAGGCGAAGCACGACAGCAAAGGCATACACGAAAATGGATTGGATGCTGACCAAGACAGTCGAAGAGGCGATCGACGTCCGTATCAGTGCGGCGTTAAAGGCCCAATCCGCCAAAAACATGGCCGGCGTAATGTACAATGCTGCCAATACGTGTTTTCGATGGTTCCATCGCGTCGTGTGATCTTCGACCAGCTTTTGACTGCGTTGGACGGCAATGTCGACGAAATCCGTATACGTGGTTGCCTTGTTCATGTCATGGGCGAGACTGTCAAACGAAGGAGAAGTACAACACCCAACGCTGGGAATGCAGGCCGTGTCCGTAGATGATTCCTGATGCGGTGGACTTGATGACTTTTGAGCGGCGTAGTAGTGAAGCGGCAAGAGGAAGGCCATCAGGGACATGCCAATGTAGGTCATGATAAAAGGCGATTCCAGTTCCAACTCTTCAAAGAGGAACTGGGTCAGTAAGGAGTTGAACACCAGTAGGACACACTGTAGAAAGATGAGGAAAAGTCCAAAGGTGAACTTCCATTTCGAGGTTGCTGATGGTGCGGTTGAGGACCCAAAGAGGATCTCCCATGGTGCCGACGCCTCGAAAATCATCTTTCTGCTGAAGAATGAGGACAACTGCAACCAAAAGGGACAAAAGCAAGCGCTTACGGTATTCGGCACAAAACCGATGGGCAATGCTTCCGGATCTTAGGTTTGGACGAGGTGCGCCAGCAGGTGAAGTCGTTGCTTCCGCATCGGCTTTTTACTCACAAACCGTAGCAAAACCACAACTTTTGCGGAAGCTACCGCCAGCTCCTATCTATCTCTACAATACTAGCTAGTATGATACGAACTAATTGACGTGTGTGACAAGGATATCCAACAAGATATGACATATTCATTGAGATAGCGATTGAATTAGGCGCGCCCAACGGCAGCTCTTACTTGAAAGGGCGGTGGTCTGGTTGTCATGGTGCGTTGTGCAATCCGACTGACTCGACTACTCCTGGAAACTCCAATGCTTTCCAGGACTTGCTCAGGTCAAAGGCCAAAGTGATCATTGTTTTGGCCTGTGATCCTTCTGCAACCCCCACAGCAAGTCGACTTCGATTGCTAGCTAGACGTCAATAATGGCGTCTGCTTCCGCCGTCGTTGCCCTGACTCACGCGGTCCAGGCCGCTTTGGCCTTGAGTCTATCTCATTGGATTTGCTGCTGCATCATTATGCATTTTGATCTGAGCGGCAAGTGGGCCAAGTACGCTCTTCACAAGACCCGAGATGTTTCCGTCCAGGACTATCTCGATGGTGCCAAGAGTTTCGTGGCCGACCTGTTCCTCCTCTTTATTCCGTTCATGACTGCGTGCTTTTGGTACCGACAAGACGAGATTCAGGGTACGTGCTCGGCTGGTCGGGCATCGTATTGGCAATGTTCTCTGCTCCATGCCAACTCACACATAACTATTAATGTTGCACTTCCTGCCGTACCAGGCTGCCATGATTCTATTTCGGTTGCCCTGACCAAGTTGGCATCGGGGTACATTTTCGGAAAGCTCTGGGCGTTTCTGGTGCACTACGTGTTGCACTTTCCCGCCTTTTATCAGTTCCATCGGCAACATCACTGCAACCCCAAAAAGTTGGTAGCCGCTCGAGCTTGGCAGGATTCTTACGTCGAGTATGCCATCATGGAGCTCCCCTCCTTTGGCATTACCCTGATGCTGTTCCCGACTCGAATGTGGGCCCATTTGGTTCATTTTGCCTGGCATGGATGGGATGGAGCCTGCGGTCACTCTGGCTTTGGTGCTCCGGGGATCTTGGGATATATATTTGATGGAGAGTACCACTATTATCATCACGCCCACCTCACAGTCAACTACGCAGAGGTGGAGTTCTTGGACAAGCTATTTGGTACCCATCATTCGCAACAGCATAAAGCAAAACGAGCAGCATGAATCGAATCATCCCACTAGCATAATACATAAAGATTCAATCGCTCTTCCGCTGTATCGTGTGGTGCACTCTACATTCAGAGAGCTCTTATAGAACGGCATACACCGTTCTCAAAACAGACCAGGAGTCCATCCATCCTTTCTCGAGCCAGAATCTGACACCGATATATATCACGCACAACGTTTCTTTTCCTTCTAGCAGCTACGCTGGCTTTATGACGTCACATAAAGATAGTGCCTGGTACCAGTTCGGTATCCATGACTGAGACAGCCGGTCCCATCCAGACTATAGGGGGTTTTAGAGTAGGGAAATTATCTAGGGAAGCCAGCCGGGGCCAGGCTCAAGCAAAGAACAGTCAATAAGTCAGCGGGAGCTGCGATACCTCGGCAGAAAGACAGATAGAAGAAGGAGGATTATGTTCGGATTGGACCCATCTTTCAAGCTAGCCCTGGCGACAACACCCGACTACGTCGTGTGTTGCCGCCCGGTATCATTCATTCCCTCATTGCAACCTTCTTTTTATTAAGCTAGCCCTGCTAACCATAATTTTACAGCTGTCACTCCCGTATGTACCTGTTTCTGCTGGCTTATTGTGTTGAGTGCACTAACCTTGAATCATCATGATTTATTCCTACCCTAAATTTGTAGAACCTTCAATTTCCAGTTTTGTTGGCTTACGCCTATCTCTATCCCTATATTTTGGCTTCACCTGAACAGGAAATAGGAAATAGGAAATAGGAAATACCAAAAAAGGGGTAGAGGGCTCAGGCAGATAGACTGCCGAGGTAAAGGGGGTGAGGGCTCAGGCAGATAGACTGCCGAGGTAAAGGGGTTGAGAACTCAGGCAGTTTACCTGGGTTACTCGGGCATTTTGTCTATTTAAGGCTATTGTATCTGATTACAGAGTTGCCTAAATGTTCTATGCTCCTTTGTAAAAGTGGCTTATGTCTCACAATGTCTACGGATGTCTCACAATGTCTCACAATGTCTACCAATGTTTCACAATGTCTCACAATGTCTCACAATGTCTACTAATGTCTACCAATGTCTCACTTTGTCTACACAGTACAGTAAAACAGTACAAAAATGTCTCACTTTGTCTACTAATGTCTCACAATGTCTCACAATGTCTCACTTTATCTACCAATGTCTACCAATGTATCACTTTGTCTACTAATGTCTCCTAATGGTGCACAATGTCTACTTTGTCTACTTATGTCTACTAACTGTGTGTAGACATTTACACTTTTAAAATCGCCAAAACACTTTCCCAAACAGACAAAATGCCCAGTAACCCCGCGGAGGTAATGCAGAACCTGTGGGATCAGGGGCAAGAAATTCCAGACTTGCTTTTTCGAAGCCGCAGCATCCTGATGTCGAAGAGCCGAACCTCATGAAGAGCACTGAGGACATGCTCTGCTATAACAACCACTATTAGAGAGGAGCTGGCTTCTGAAGACTTGGCGGAAGGTTTTTGACGGAGTTGGTACAAGTATCTGAGTCTTTTGTCCTTGTTGTGATACTTTCCCTCCAAAGAAAAGTTTACGGTACGTTTGCTTGTGGTTGCCTCTCCGCTCGCAGGAGGCTACTGTATCTATCGCTGAGATATCCAACGAGGCGACGTCAATGGAAGGACTCGAAGAGAGCAGCCCTGTCGAACGGGTCGCCCTCGAGACAGAAGGCGAGGCAGCGACACAGACGACAAGTTTAGGCGTCAGAGACCAACTCTACGACGGTAGCGTTCGCACAGTTTCTTCCAGTACTGCAACGGTGCCAGCTTCAAACGTGATTGCTACCAAAGGGGAACAGAGGCGGTCTCTTAATCCGGCAAAAACAACACCAGCACCAATTCCTGAGCTTCCCGATGCCCAAGAGAGGGGCCGACCGAATGATGTAAAGGTCAGCGATGACATTAGTCTGGCTGAACTCAAAGCACGTCTGAACCAGCTGCAAGATCAGGTCAATGAACTATCCAAAGAACCAAAGATTCCTGTCAATTCCGATTGTTCCCTTGGCACTGGGATGGAGTCGGCACGATGGATAAACCCCAATTATCCTCAAATGTTTCCTTATCATGCTGTTGGAGGCAGCATTGATCTTAATTATGGTGGCAGTGTTGCTTCTACTGCGGTCGGCTCAGGATTCACGGGGGCGTTCTTTGAAGTCGATGTCAACCAAGCTGTCTCGGACGAAGAAGACGATGACTTGACAATGCCAGATTATAGCACAGTTGGGGATGTCCGTCCAAGTTCAGAGCAGAGGTGGAAAGACTTACAGGAAAAGTTTTTCCCTCATAGTTTAAACGACAACGAGCCGGAAGGTGACGACTTGACAATGCCAGATGGTATAACCAGCGATGACCGGTATAATAGTCCAGAGGAGAAGCGACGAAGGTGGGAAATTTTCCAAAAGGCGCTTCAAAGTACAGACGAGGCACTGCAGGAAGAAGATGTAGCACAAGCGCCACCAGCAGAGCGACAAAGGCAGAATCCGCGGTCCAAAGGAAAGCGACAAAAGATCGAGCCCTCGGGACGTCAAGCCAACAAGTCTTCCTTGGTGTTTATGCACCCCGAAGAAGGCACGTGGTTGACATGGGAGTTCTTAATAAAACTGCCTGTTCGCATGGCTCACACTTTGTTTCTGCCCCACAGTGAAGGAGATGAGGCCCTACACCCCAGAAGAACTTGAGAAAGTGAGACATCGACCATTTCCCAGTCGCCTTTTCATTACAAACGTACAAGTGGCGGTAAGCACCGGTGTTGTCCCGGGACGGGACGATCAATCAACTCTAAAGCAAACACTCAAACCCCGCTTGATACCAGTGGAACACAGTATGGTTGAGAACACGGCACACAGACCATCATGCGCACAGATCTACTTTCCTTCATATTCGTAATGTCTTCAAGGTAAGGCATGTGGCAGATTTCGATGGATTAAGTTGGAAAAACAAGATTATTTTACCTTTTGCCCAACCGTAACAATTTCAAAGGCCGACGCAATCGCAAACAATCCACCAGGCGCCAAGTATGCTTTGACCGAACTTCTGAACATGTGCTTCGGAATGGAAGACAGCGAGTTTTACAGGTATGCAAATCACATTGGAGTCGTGGGTTTCGTGTCTTCTCCTGCGATGCGCTTGCTGACACCCAACAATTCTAGCTTTGCATGCACAGTGGCATCTGCATTGTCATCGGAAGCTTCAAACACCGAGTTTGAGAGAGGCTTGCTCCTGCACTTTCCGGATGAACGCCGAAGAGACCACTTGAGGAAGATTGAGGATGATATGCGAAGAACACACCGGCAATTGACGGGGAAACAATTGGCACGTCGAGTTCTGGAGCACGAGCAGGAACTTGCGAGAAAACGGATCCGGCAGCTTTTGCACATCGTCTTCTCCAAAGTGAAGCAAAAGAAGATGTTGCTAGATGACCGAAGAGACAACATTTACCGGCTTGTCCTTTGCATGACCAAATACAATTGCGACAGCAGCTTGCCTTTTCTTTATGCCGCCGTCGCTTTCGTATTCCAGATCGTTACCGGCCTGTTTGTCATACTGAGTTTGACGACGTTTGATGAGGACGAGAACGCGGAAAGGTGGCATGAGAGCTGGGTGTTGTTTGGGCGAAACATTGCTTTGGCACTGTGCACATTGTCATACGGATTGATGATTGCTTTCCCGGAACTAAGAGGCGCCCCAGAAGTCTTCAGTGGTTTGTATGGTTCGAACCCGGGCATGTTGGCAGGCATGGATATCCTTACCAATGCCATTCTTCCAACTGCAGTGGCTGTTTGTGGGTTCTTTGTGGTAAGTAGGGCACCAAACGGGCACTGCCCCTCATTTGTGATTCCAAATCTCATCTGTATCTTGGATGTTTCCAGGTTTTGTCTGCTGAAACGTTTCTGGATGGCGTCATCAGTGCAGCAGCCCTTTACTTCATTGTGGCAATAGACAAGCAACTTGTGCCTTGGCTTGAGCTCGATACCAAGGCAATCGTGCATGGTTTCCTGATGGATCAAGCCCTCGGAGAGTACGAAACCCAACGATACTCTCAGGAATATTCTGACCTGGCTGACAACCCATCACCCAATGGGCTTCAATCCATCCAATTCAGCGACATGTTCCTAACCAACCATGAAGAAAGCGGAAGCAGGCCATCAAGGGGTGTCACCTTCCAGCCTTTTGAAGCCTTTGGAGATTCTGGACAACACGAAAGTGAGGAAAGTTATATTCTTGCTGGTGGCTCTTTAATCAGCCTTCCGGACAAGCGAAGAGCTCCTAGCAGCCGCAAGAGGAGAGGAGGAGGCCGCCAAAACAGAAAGAGCTGGGATCGGAGCTATGTAGGTGGACAAATGCAGGTAACCAACAAGAGAATGGTGACTTCCGATTGCCTCCTAAGGAAAGTGGAATGGCAGTACACACGTGGCTTTGACAACACATGTGTTCCACGAATTGGGCATCTCAGACTGACAAAGCTGAATTACGCGAACAGCACAATTGATATCATCGGCAAGAACACAGGTGTTTTGGTTCTGGAAACTTGTCTCTGACGCTTCCTCATTGCCTCTGCCAATGTCGATAGACTTCGGATTTGCGGATCCCAGACTGCCGAGGATTTCCTGCTTGCTTTTGCTTACTATAGCCTGTGGCCACTTGCTCCAAGCGCCAAGAAGCTCCTTCTAAGAAGCACCGACGTAAAACTCACGGAGGACGAGCATCGAGCCAATGAGAGGGTGCTTGATGGAATCCCAATGAGAGTTGAAACAATCCAAGAGGAGGAAGTTGAGGAAGAGGATAGTAATGGGGATGATGTGGTGGATGCCAAAGAGGATATCGCGGCGTTGGAGGACGACCCAGCGGAGATGGAAGTGGAATCCGACGCTGTAGTATCTCTGGCTCTTCGCAACTACGAAAACTACCACGGATTGGAGAATGGGACAGCGACCTACGATCAGGTCCGCGGTAGCTCAGCTGGCATCCAGGGCTGGCCTTCCACAGTCATCAACCGCTCTCCCACGGATGCTCCTGCACGGGCAAACGACAAAGCGGGAGAGCATGAGGGGAAATTGAAGGCTTGAACCTCATGTGATCGCCCAGACCGGGCCAGCTCCAGCAGGGTAATCAATCGAGCCATAAGAAAAGGCAACAAAGGAGAGGACGAGGAAACTAGCATGCAGAACCGTTTTCCCCAATGACCCCCCTTTCAGCCCATCGGCAACAGGCCCAGCCACTGTAGGTAGCGTTTTCATTCCGGGGGCACCCATGCTCTTAAAAATGCCCGAACTCTGCAACAACTTGATGCGAATGTGTATCGCAAGGGCAATGGTTCTCTGACGCCTCATTGGGGTCTTTGAACTGCTTGTAGCATGTATATGCATTGATTGGTGCAACAAAATGGATGTCCCTCAGCTATTACATGTATATCGCACAGGTCCCGGTGTTGCGTTCGTGCTTCTACTTTCCACTAGCTAGTGAGTAACAACGGGCCGTACCGGTATCGTACTGGTACAAGCGGTGCCAAAAATGTCTCAACAGCTTTGCGGTCTCGAACGCTTTGAGTCACGAGAAACCTGCGGATGGATACAATCCCGTCTCAAAAAGGTGCGTTCGTTCGTTGCAGTCGCTTCGTCGACCATGACAGCATGCCAGCATGAGCTCCGCAACCGGATCACTGACCTGCCTCTTCTTTCCATCAAGACAAAAGAAACCCTCATACATCTAGCCAGCGATTAGCCATGGTAACAACGAAGAAGCTCAAGACAGAAGAAGGTGCACAAGAGATGGTCGAGGACGAAGAAGACGAGTCTTATGGTGGGGAGGAAGGAGGAGACGAAGATCACTCGGACGACGAAGACGATGGGTCGGATGAAGACGACGACTCTGAAGAAGAAGATGAGGAGGAGTTGGAGATGATGCAGAATTTGATGGCGACCATCAAGGAGACACGAGAAGAGAATAAGCGGCTGACGGAAACTCTGATGCAAAGGGTGGCACAGGAGAAACAAACCAAGGAAGGAGCAGCGGCTGCAGCAGCAGCTGCAGCAGCAGTGCCGTCGCAGAACAAACATCAAGCCATGTTTGGTAAAATCATGGCACTCTCTTCTGCAGCGGCACCACCAGCAGCCGAGACAACAGCAGCAGCAACCGAGCCAGAAGATTCCAAACTTCCAGGGGACAAGTAGGGTGGATGGGGATAAAAACCCGGTTCTACCAAGCTAGCTAGCTCTAGGCAGCTGGCATGATCATGTGCCGTGGGAAAAAGGCCAACACTGATAGAAACCCCCGCGTATCCTCAACAATCTATACTTACTCCGGTAATGGAGCGCTTCTCAAGAGCGCGCTCAGAAGGCAGGCTGGGGTTTCTTCCGAGCAACTTTTGCAAGCTGGGATACCGGTAGATAGATGTTTTTAGATTCTCCCACCAAGCAAAACGGAGCCTTTTTCTCGCAATCTAATTTCCTCATTTTCTTCACGGTTCGCTCTCTTTGCCACCAACAATACCGTAGTGGGGAAGTGACAACGTGACGACCCCTCGAAGAAAGCAATGTATTATTTGTTCGTCCTTGTTATGCACGGTAGTACGAGTCAAGAGATAGTCGCCCCTTCTCTACCGGTATAGTCTAGAGGGGAACAACCTTAATAACAATTTGTTACTTTAGTCGTCCCTTCTCTCATCGAACTTTTCTCGTCTACGTTTTGGAGGCTTCTGTAGACAGATTCAAGCATTGCACCGAGAGCATAAAGTAGGAGCAACTGTGCGTCTAGAGGAATGTACCGCGGATCGGACTGGCACCTCTGCAGTCCTCTCGCTCCTCCTCATTTTTCATTCCTCTTCCAACAGACCAGAGCAATGATAATGGTCACCTACAGATGGTTACTAGAGCTACACAAGTGCATTGCCCATGTTTTCGCTTTCCCTGACCCATCCCACCCTTTTGTCTTTTTAAAGAGTTCACAGCTGTATGAGTGTGGCCAATGCCACCACTCACACAGCTTGGGTTAGGCACAAAGCAATAGTAGCATAAACAGCTCTATAGCCTTAAGACCATCAAAAGGATACCACAAGAGGCCCACACTGCCTTGGTGAGGGACCGGATGTTTGTGAATTGTACCAAAGTACAATGACTTTGACCCTTGGAACCTACGTCTCCCAAGAAATTACAAGGAAGCTGTTTCGGCCTGCGTTTCGGTTGGTTCTGTTTGAGTGTCAATGGTGATACAAGAGACTCATGCCATGAGGGACAGAATGTGTGTGACCTCCTCTGGAGCGCAACGGCCTTGAGAAAACGCAAAAAGGCCCCACAACAGAGGATATCAGAACCAGGCCCGGAGCAGCACTCCACCAAAGTGGCCCCGCAGAAATGCATAATGAGAGAGATTGTTGTGAAGCTCATTGAAGTTGGTCTCCCGCGGGAGGCCTCGAAGTGTGATATCACAGGTTATGGTAATAACTCAACGTACTCCACAGTCCATTTCCGGAACACGTGGAAACTTCAGCTAGTAGCTGTCTAGTAGCGTAGAAGCTTTCCACGCCGGCTAAATATCTAGAGCGATGTTCCATCGACAACCTAGTATGACTAGGAGTCATGAGAACCCTGTCTCAATGACTATTCGCGAAGGACTACGTCATGAGTCGAACTCAAACCCTATCTAGGATCGAGTCGCGAATAAGGCTAAGAGCTGTGTATTGCACTATCACTTCCACAGACGTCAAGTTTCCCACCGATGCTCGCTGTGCGGAGGAGAAACTCTATGGCTTCTCCATCATGATAGACGTGGGGAAACCATCCAGTTTCGCGCGCCGTGCGAGATGTGGCCCTCTCGCTGGGATCCTACCTCCACACCATCCATGGCCTACACGCTGACAACCAAAGTGTGGCGGTGGACTTGTGCGGTCGCATCCTCTTCGAGGTCCAACAAGATTACTTCTTGTGGGTCAACGAAGCTGTCCTAAAGCTGGGCGCTGCTGCCCCCAACTTTGGAACACTCACTAGACTCGTTCAGTCCTCCCGTGCCTCGTCTCTCGCGGAGCTCCCTGCTCACTGGTACTCGTTCTTCAAGCCTGCTCCCGAGCCGCCTAGCAAGAAGCCTGTCGGAGCCAACCAACAGCAAACAGGAGCACACCCCGTTACCAACGTCTACGGCGATGAGGACCTCTTGAAGCGTTTCCAGGACTCTGGGTTCCGCTCCATCACTGAGACGACCAAGGACCACCAGTACACTATCCCCAAGCACGGTGGTCAAGACGTCTGTATGGCCTGGGCCCTCAAAGGCAGCTGTACCTCCAGATGCAAGCGCGCTGCCACCCACAAGCGCTACTCAGCGGCTACGGTGCAGAAGCTCCACACTCTCCTCACGGACTGTGGAGTTGCTGATCCACAGCCCTGAGTTTCCACGCCTGGGCTCGCCACCCGTATTGGAGCTCCCGCTCCTATCTCGGTGGGGTCCATGCCTCGCAAGCAGTTTGGTCTCCGCCCATTTGGTCGCGATGTCTCTCCTGTGAAACCTCCAAGGACTAACAGGAGCACTCCTGCTCGCAAAACACCTTCACTCCTGCTCGCAAAACACCTTCACTCGACGAATCTACCACTTCAATTCACGCCCTCTCACACGCAGCCTCGCTGTTAATGTCTTCATCATCAAAGCGGTCGGCTGGTCTACTGCCTGGATCGCCTAAGAAATGCTGACCGCCTTCATCTACTACATCAAACACCACTAAAACTACTAGCCCTGTCGTTGACATCAGATCAATCCGAACTGACAGACTAGGTACGTTAGTCCAAAACCTTTGCTCAGCCTACTCGAAGACAGAGACGTGGGAATCCTTTGTCGCCGACTTCAGAGGGCGCTCCTACCTTGCTCCGAACTTGGAGGATGTCGACCATCCTGCCATCCCCTTGCTCTGTCACTGGAGAGACCATGGGGTCCCCGTACAAAACGAATCACCTCCCTGGACGACGGAACAGAAGGAGGAATGCATCCGCCGCGGCTGCCACAAATCTGCTACTGAGCATTCCGACTTCCTCCGTGAGGAATTTTCCGAGTTCATCGAGAACAAGTTCTGGGCTGTCCTTCCGTTCTGGGCTGTCCTTCCATTCGACCTCGTCAAGGACGAACCCTCCCTCCTTCTATCTGCCGCTGCGGTCAAGGTGGAAAGAGACTGCAAACCCCGACTCATCAGCGACCACACCTGGAACTGGGGTTCGAAACCACATCACATCACATCACGCGCCGCCCGAGGCCATGCAATTTGGAAATGCCCTGCCGCGCATCTTGTATGATGTGCGTCACGCGAACCCCAAGTGCGGCTTCTACCGCATGTTCCTGAACCCTTCCGACTGCATCCGACTCGCGCTGGTTCTGCCTCGCTATGAAGGTGAGCCCCAACTGGTGGCCGTCCCAATGTCATGTACCATGGGATGGGTCGAGTCGCCGCCCACTTTCAGTGGCATGTCAGAGACCACCTGCGACCGAGCAAATGAACGCTTCCTGAAGTCCCCAGAGCCTGTCCTCCACACAGACTTGAGCATCATGCCGAGGCAATGGATGACCTGGACCCGTCCACCACTCCTAGACCACGGGAGAAGGAGGACCATGCGGCAACGCAAGAACTCCTTGGGATCGCCACCTCCACCTTGGAGGCCGAACCGGACCACTTCGCGGGACCCTCGAATAGACCTTTGCTCCAGCCCATCGGGCGAAATGATGGTTTCGTTGACGACTTCATCCAACTCGGCCAAGGAGGAAAGCGCCGTATGAAAGCGCTGCGCAGGTAGCCACTTACTCCATGCCATTGACGAGATTCTCGTGCGCCCCAACCTCAGCGAAAAACACCGAAATGAGGCAGTCTCGCTCAAGAAACTCCTGCAAGGAGATGGAAGCTGGGCTACTCGAAAACTCATTCTGGATTGGATCATCGACACCCTTCGATCATCGACACCCCACCGGAAGCAAGCGCTTGCCAACATCTTCAAGGAACTAGCTGGGTGTCGCAGAGTCAGCCACAAGCGTTGGATGCAAATCCTCAGCAAACTGCGCTTTGTCTCTGTAGCCATCCGGGGCTCCGCTGGACTCTTCAGCGCACTCTAGCTCGCCCCCACGAAGTCCAAAGGAGGAAGAATCCGGATCAACACTGCGCTGAGATCCCACATCGATGCCTTTGCTGATCTGGCTGCCAGCCTCTGCCACCGCCCAACACACTTGGCTGAGATCGTCCCCCAGGACCCGTCCTTCTTTGGCGCCACTGACGCCGCCAAGGCGGGAATGGGCGGTGTCTACTTTGACTCCGAGGAAACTCCCTACTTATGGAGGTTCCCTCCCGATGTGCAGGCTCAGCTCGTGTCCACGGACAACCCGAAGGAAACCGTCACCAACAGTGACCTCAAGCAAGCCGCCATCCTTGCGCAACACTCCTTGCAAGCGGCACGGCACTGCGTCACCTACGCCACCCTCTACACTCTCTCGGACAACACCCATGCCGTCTCCAGAGTCTCCAAAGGGGCGGTGACTTCAGATGGCCCTGCGGCGTTCCTCTGCAACTACGCCTGCCACCACCAGCGAGAGCACCGCTACCGCGCCCTCTCGTCCTACATCTCGGGTCCTGCCAACGTGATGGCTGATGATGCATCGCGTCTGCAACACCTCACCCTGCCTGAACTTCTCGCCCACTTTGAGCAGCGCTATCTGCAGAACAGACCCTGGCAGGTGTTGACTCTGCCACCCGAGGTCAGTTCACTGTTGATCTCCGCCTTGCGCTGCAGACCGATTCCAAAAACATTGTCTCCAAGACAGCCGCCGCCCGAGACCGGACCTTCGGACGATGGTGTGACTTCTGCGCGGGCCTCGGCGTCAACCCATCCCTCTGTGATATCCCTGACCAAAAGATCCGAGCCTGCTACCTCCTCGTCTTCGGAAACCGTTACCGCCAGTCTAACAATGTCCGAGCTGACTCAGTGGACAAGGCCCTTCTTGCCGGTGGGAAGGGGATCACCGACCTGGGTCACCCGGATCCCAGAAAGCTCAAAGCAGGATCCGACCACAACCATCCAATACTCGCTGCTTTCCTCAAAGGACTCAGGGATGAAGATGGACCCCTTGACCAAGCCTACCCCGTCAACCTCTCCATCCTCCGAGCTATGCTCGATGCCCTGGACAAGGACGACGCCACCTGGGGAACCCTCAA